TGAGGTATTTGAATTCTGGATTAGAAACAGATTTAGAATCCTAGTTCCAAAAACTTTTCCTCTGCTATTTTAAAAGTACCTCAGGCCATTGGTAAAAATTTTTCGTTTGAGAATTTTTTAACACAATCCATAAAAAGATATCACAATAAAAAATTCAATTTTAAATTTCAAAATTATGACAAATATTTCACATTTTATTCACTTATTTTTTTGTTATTAATGAGGTATTTGAATTCTGGATTAGAAACAGATTTAGAATCCTAGTTCCAAAAACTTTTCCTCTGCTATTTTAAAAGTACCTCAGGCCATTGGTAAAAATTTTTCGTTTGAGAATTTTTTAACACAATCCATAAAAAGATATCACAATAAAAAATTCAATTTTAAATTTCAAAATTATGACAAATATTTCACATTTTATTCATTTATTTTTTGTTGTTAATTAGGTATTTGAATTCTGGATTGGAAACAGAATCAGAATCCAACTATCATCAACGAAGAAGACACAGAAGGTAATATATTAAGAATAGTTCAAACATATTTGATTGCAATAAATTTTTATTTTTATTTTTAGCATTTTCTAAGTTAGTATATTAGTTAGTTCATGTTCATATCAACTTTGAAAATTAAACAAGCTGCAAAAATAGCTTAATCAACAATTAAAATTTTGTATATTTAAAAAAAAAAAAAGAAATTTTTTTGATTAAACTTTAATAGTTATTAATGCGATATAATATTTCTCAGAAGAATATTATGTTCTAATACTTATTTAATTACATATCATAAATTACAATGTATATATAGTTGCATTGAATTAATTACATACAAATTACAAATCTTATTTTTAGCATAATTTTACGAACATTTGTCATGTATTTTTATTGTATATTTTTATTTTGTCATTTTTTTAGTGTATAGCAGCGTAATTTGTACTGTGACACGCTCAACACCAGTCTCTCAATATGTATAATGTGCAAAAACAAAAAACAATCGATTACGCTGAATAACTTTTGATCTAATGATCGGATCTATATGTTTTAGGACTCAATCATTTTGGTTCGATGGTGTTACTTCAAATATGTTAATTAGTTAGACGATATTTTAAGTTACAAAATCAGACACAAAAATGCATTTTTTCTTAATAAACACGCTTCCCCCCCCCCCGGGCGNCACTCTCCCCCCCCCCCGGGCGTGGATATCTGACCCCCAAAATATAGTTGCTATCTGGTAAATATGGTTCCAATACGAAAACTGTCCAAAAATTTAGACCTCTTATGTTGATTTTATTTTTTAATTTTACATAGATCGCCACATTTTGAAGACTTTTTAAGCGAATTGAAAACATTTTGCACCTAATTATAAAATTCGTTTGTCCAAAGATAATTCCAATCAAAAAAATAACTTTTAGTAAATATTTTTATATTATTTTATTTAATAACAGTCAAAAAAATTTTGAACTGTAAGGTATAAAATTTTCTGCATAATTTTAAAGAATTTTACATGCCAAATACAAAATTTGAGTGTAATCGATAAAATAGTTTCCGAGTAACGGAATTTAGAAAAAAGTTGTGTTTATTCAGAAAAAACTAGTTTTTGTACTTGATTTCGTAACTTAAAATGTCGTCTGCACTAATTATTTAGCATAGAGGTCACTCCCTTTGAACTGAAGATTGAGTCCTAGAACATGAAGATCTGATCATTAGATTAAAAGTTATTCAGGAGTGTCCGTTTCTTTTCTTTCTTTTTTTTAGCATTTTACATATATAAAGTGAATTAGAACTCACAACATTAGAAACAATACTTTCAGTAGTCAAAAGCAATTAAATTATCAATATTAAGTGCATCACATGTGATCAAAAGATCAGAATTAAATAATTTACATTATAGATCAGTCTCAAACTAAATTAAATTTAGAATAATTAAGGCACAGTAAAATTAACATTTCCCATTCTTTTTCTAAATTTTAGACATCGATCGAGGTCTCCAGACAGCAAATCTTCTATTATACCTCAAGAAGTGAAACAATATATTGAGTAAGAATAATATTATTAACTACATAGTGTATTATAAATTTTTCAAATAAGCTAAAATTCTGCTAATTTAAGAACTACTCTAAAACATTTTTCACAAGTATTATTGAAATTAATCCTAAAACTAATTTATTTTTATATTATAAATTTAGCTACAACTTGATTGATCCAAGCACTTTAACAGAAGAAGAAAAGAAAGACATAAAGTATACAAAAGTTCAGTAAGTATTTTCTATTTTATTAAAAACATTTACTGTTGTGTAAATAATTTATGTGGACTTAATATTGATAATAATTTCAGAGCTGATAGCCGACTTTTCAAAATGAGGTATTCATCCAGCCAAGGTCAACTTTCGAAAAATCATTCAAGGTAAGCAAAGTATTAGTAAAATTGTGATAAAATACTAAAATTTAATCATGAATATTGACTAAAATAAGAATAATAACTACATTTACTAAGAGATTTTTAAAAAAAAATTCCCCTACTATACAGTGAAGGGAATTAAATTATTTTAAAATTTATTCATTTAAAACATTTTCATAATTTATTGATTTTTTTTTGGAGAAAAAAATTTAAAAAAGTTTTATAATGCAACATAATTTTTTTATTTGTTTCAGTATTTTTTTTAACATTCCCAAGATTTACATGAATATCAAATAATATAAATAGGTCGATAAGAGTTATAAATAGATTATAGAATTTAAATATATATGAATAGATATTTAAAATTATAATACTCATACTTCATTTTAAGACATTGCATGTATGTGCCAGCTGAATCCTATCATTACTATTGAAAAATGATTATGATATATAATTGCTATTAAAAAGTGATGATAGTAAAAATGAATAAATCATTCTAAACTGAAATAAGGAATCTAAATTTTCTTTTTATTATTTTTTTAATATTTTCTTTACACTAAGTGTTTTGTTCAAGTAATAGATTCAGTTCTTTGACAAATTAATTTAGCTTTTTAAATATAAAAATGTAACTATTTTAAACTCATTTGCAAAATTTTCTACTGTAAACAACAACTTTTCTGTAAGTAAACTCTCATTTTACAAAAAATAAAGGATTTATTTGGCATATAATAATATAAAAAACTTGTTATCAGCATCAAGTATAGCTATCAAAGCTCTTAAAAGCTAATCACTTCAGAAAAATATACTCATTACAATACATTATTTTTGGATATAATAATTACTTTGCATAAACAAGATCAATTTTTAAAGCAAAAAAACAGAATGCAAGCAAAAATTTTAAAATTCAAATAAAGATACCTTGTTGATGACTTCATATTAAATCTACAAAGAAATTTTTTTCATTAATTTTGGTTCTGTGCTAATTAATAGTTGTCATTCGAATGAAAAATTGAAGAAGAAAGAATTCTAATGTCATTTAGCATATTTAAAACAAATATAATACAAGTTACACTAAAATTTTATGTAGGCAAAATTAAAATCAAATTATATATACGATGTGTTTTAATTTTGATCAGCCCTAATTAAAAGTCTTGATAGTTCAAATACCACTCTTCTAAAAATTCTTTGTTTTGTTTATAAATGGATAAGATAACATTATGAATGTAAACAATAATAGATGAATAAAGATGTTAGGAACTCATATTTAAAATAGAGACCCACTTTTAACAAAAAGGGAACCAAGAAATGCGAAATTTTCAGTTTAGCAGAATCACTGTTGTGAGATAGGTTTAACATGAAATAATGAAAAAAAAAGTAATTTCAGCAAGTAGTGACGACACCATACTTGTTTAATTTTTATTTGTAACAAATAGTCAATGTACATCTTCCTTTAACTGTTACTTCACTATTTCTTTAAAAAAATTATTTTAAAATTTAGTGTTGTATATGGTTTTGACACATATAATTTGAAAATGATAACTCCAGTCATAAATTTTGAAAAAAAAAAAATACTCAGTATTAGTTTTCAAAAGTTATTAATAACATTCAAAAGTATGTCTTTTAAATTTGTAATTAATTCCATTACAAATTCCTGACTCCATAGTGACAACCATCACTTTCCATTTATTTTTATTTTCTCGCAATAAATAAATAAAAAAGTACACTTCATTTCAAACTCATTTCCCCCCTCTTTTGTGGAAAATTGTTTTATAGACAAAAAACAGATGCCCTTTTTATCTTTTACTGTTTTACTTATGTTCTTTTTCTTAAAGCTTTATTCTAATGGCATTTTATTGTCTATTTAGATCTTTTAATAGCAATTTACATAAATCACAGTCTTTAGAAGATCCAGGTCCCCCACCACCCTACACATCTGAACAAACTACTTTTTTGTCACAAAGTCAAAGATTAGTGGACATAGAAGAGAAGAATGAGAATCAACCTGAGTTGGTGCATGTCCCAAAAGAACTTTCTCACAATTTAAACCACATAAAAACTAACAGTTTTAAAGAAAAGTAAGAATACTACTATTAGTTTATTTTTTTTCTCTGACAACAGAAGGTGATGATTAAACTGTAGTTGGATTTCTGCTAACCGTATGTTATTAAATTTCATTAAAAACGTTTCAAATCACAAATGGTAAAATTTTTATTAAATCCTACAGGGTGTATCAAAATAAGTGTCCCTAAAGTAAAGGTAACAGAAAAGAAAAATATTACAAAATATGTTTTTATTAATTTATACAGCTTTGTGCTACAATTGACTAATTTATTTTATGAAAGCTCAAATTGTTTCCCATTTTCATTTATCACTTTATGCAAGCGATTCAAAATCTCCTGGCACTATCTGCTTCTTCTGGAACTTAATGAAACGTTCTTTTTCGACAGTTAGTTCTCTTATACTCTCAGTCTTTGAGAGCATATAGCCTTGGATAAAGTAATCAAATGGATTTAAATCTGGTGAAGAAATTCTACTGAACTGATGAAATCAGACAAATTTCTTCTGAATCATGTTTGGGCCTTTTTTGATTTATGGGTGGGCACTGAGTCTTTTTGAAAGCAATATGATTATCCTCTAAATAGATCAGAAACAGAATCAATCGTTTCACATCAATCATAAGTGAAAGCTATTCTTTTTGGGAAATCATACCATCACAATTGATGCATTTCGTAATCCATGCACAGCCAACTTATCTTTGGGAACGTAGTCGAAAGTGACATTTGGCTCTTTTTAATTATAGCTTGCGTTTGTGCATTGGTATAACCATGAATTCGTTGTTTTTGTATGGTTTAAAATAAACTTAAGGAATTAATGTAAAAAAAAAGGTGAGTATAAAGTAAAATTATTGAACACCTATTCTGGTACACCTAAGCATTTTGGTATAACAATGGTACACATTCTTCAGTTGGATAAATGGCAGGGACAATAAAATATAATATATTTAATCCGTCAGAGGTTATGTCACACTAAAGAGATACATATAAAGTTAAAGGTAAAACATTAAATTGATAGAAATTTTTAAAAATTATGATTTGCAAATATTTGAAAAATATAGTACGACAGCTAGATCATTAACTATAGAATTTTTGTTTTTTTTTAATTATGTAGAAACTCTGCCAAAAATCCAGGTCACTGTATGAAACACATTCATGAATGATGATCCATCAGATTCAAGCATCTCTGTTTTACCATCCCTTTCATTTATTCTATTGATGAACTTGTACCATTATGACACTGAAACGTGTATAGGTTTTAATAAAAATTTTAACATTTGTGATTTTAAATGAAATTTAATATCGCAAAAAACTACTCTCGCAATTTCAGAAGTTATAGTTTGTTTATTATAACAGTAAAAATTTTTTTGAATGAAGCAATAGAAAAATTTAAATATCGTTAATTTTCAACTTATTTTTAAATTGAAAATAAAGGTTTGAATTAGTGAAAATAATCAAAGAACTAAAGTATTTTATTTATAATTAAAGATGAGAATATAAAGTTTTGTTTACTGCTTTCAATTATAAAGCAGAAAACAAAGCAAATTTCCTTGATTTACTCAGCATTTTTTAAAAGGAATTTTAATTTGGTAAACATAAGACTTCAAATAAACAAAACGTCTTTAAAAATGGTATTTTCAAAACATTATTATGTTACTTTTATTGTATAGTGTAAAAACAATTATTTATTAACTTTTAATTAATCAAATGAAATTGAAACAAATTTTATGCATAATTTTTTTTTGTTCTTAGGTAAAATGCACTTATAAACTATATTTATCATAAAAAAATTTTTTTTTTCAGATACAAAAATGAATTTCTGCAGAATAATTTAAGTCAAAAGCAAACAAAAGATTGGGGGACTAATAAGTCTTCTCCCTTAAACAGATCTCAGGTAAGTGTACTTAGTACAGTTAATGAATATAAATTCTTAACAAGGCATAAATAAGAAATAGTATTTACAATTCTACATTAATATTTGATTTTGATCCCATTTAAAAACTTTTCTTTTCAAATTATTTGTAATATCTAACTATATATAAAAGTCTAATGATGGTGTCCCAGTTTTCTATTCTTGTCAGAAAATTTTTATTGGCTGGAAAATAAGGTAGAATAAAGTTTTGTGTTTTCGACATAAAATTGATAAAAATCTTATAGTTATTGTTTCCCTGTAAAACATTATTTTTAGATCACAAATTTAATGTTTATTTTCTTATTGAACTCTGAAATTAATGTGTTGATTTTGAATATTTTCTAAATTAAGAGTTTAAAACTAAAAGAGTTACTTCTTTATTATAACCATAATTTTAAATAACCTAATTATTAGTACAATATATGTTATAACAATATACTTTAAATATTGTTTTGAAAAAAATGATTACTAAGGAAAATTATTTATGTTCACTAATACATCTTAATAGAATTATAAGAGAAATAGAATCATATGATTACTATTTATTAATAATATCATACTACTTACTAATCAAATTTGACTTATTGCAAAAAAAGCACCAGGGGCTCGTGAGCATAAAAGTAATTAAAAAAATTAATGAAGTGAATAAATAACACAGGTTTAAAAATCTTTACATACTTTTAACAATCTGTTTAAGAAATTAAACAAAATTTCTTTAAAAATTTTTTTTTTTTATATTTACAAAATATTCCATTTAACCGGCACCCTTTTATTTATATTAATTTGTAGTATCTCTAAATTAGATGTGAAGTTGAAATGTTTAAAATACATTGCCCATTTATAACTACATTTTGACCCACATAGTTTTAATCAGAAAGATTGATTACATAGAAATGCATGCATACACATTTTCTCAATTGCATCAGCCATAAAGGGTTAAAATACAAATCATATTTTAAGATACTAATCAGGCAGTAGCATATTCATAGAGAATGTATAAAAATATAATGTATTGCTGAATCAAGTGACCCTCTAAACAATGTTTTACTTAAGATTTAAATTTATACATTTCTTGATAACTTCCAAAAAATATATATTTACCAAAAAGAAGTCCATAAAATCTTACTAAAAACCCATTTTTGTAGCCTGGATAAATTTCGTTCTCTGTAACAAAAGGCTAAAATAAATCAAATTTTCCAATAAAGGAATAGGTAAAGGGTTTCTGCTCAGAAGACTAAAGCAAAAAACAACTTGAATAAAGCAGAAAAATTCATTTGTGCTTTATTGATGTTTTATAATTAAATAAAAAAATTATAACAAAGGCTTTATATGTTCTTACAATAATCTTTTTACTCAAGTTGCAGCTTTTTATAAATATATTATCATGATGAACTTACAAGCTTTAATGAAATAATTATTGCCTTATGCATGACTAAATTTGTTTATTTATATTGGAATTTCAGCAGCAAGTTTTTGATTCTAACATGAATGGGAGAATACCAGATGGTCAAGGAAATATCAATAACACAACACCAAATCACATGTCTAAAAACATCAGGTAAGAAGCAAAAACAACAGTATCAATTTAGATAAATCAAATTTTGTCCCACTTTTAAAACACTTGTTTTTCACGAGTACATTAATGTGTTATTATTGTGTACAGTTTATATGATAGATTAATGGAATCTTTAAATTTAAAATTTTTTAAACAGAGAATTTAGATAACGATTTTTTTTTGTTAAAAATCACTAAAATTAACTAATCAAAATTTTTGCTTTACTTTCAATATTTTTGAAACCCTGCTTTAAAATTATTTGAATTTTAAAGCAGAAATTTATTACAAATGAATTTTATTACGAATTTAAATTATATATTGGTATGAGAGTGTATTAACTAATTGATTCTAGTAACTTTTTTTTGTTGTTGCTATTTTGAGTCCTTTAGTATTGATAAAATTATACATTAGGCTGTTAAAACAAAGTAATAAGTAATTCTGGTTTAAGCAAAGTAACTCTGTAATTAAAAATGGTTTATTATTCTTTTGCAATAAAATTAGCTTTCATTACACTTAAATAGAGAAAATTATACTGTGATTAGTTTGCCACTTGCAAAAGTAGTATACTGTTCCAAAAAATGTCCTGATTTTTTTGAAAAATGTTCTGATTTTTTTTCCTTTTAATCACTATGAAGCCTGTAGTAAAGAGAAAAGAAAAACGTTATATTGTTTAAAAATTGTGTTAATTTTATTTTTAATTTGTAAAATTATTATTTATTATATTTTTATTTATTATTATATTATTTTCAGGCTTGTGAACGGTCATTTTTTCCCAACTTCGCAAAAATCACTAGTGACAATGCCTACGATGACACATAGAGTTACATTTCAAAATGATAATTTAACAAAACAGTATCCAAAGGTAAATATTTATAAGTATTAAAACAAATTACCTTCATAAAATTTAATTCCAATGTAGAATTTTTTTTAAATATTTGACTGAAAAAAAAAATTAACCTTAGTTACATTTTGAATACCTATCATATGTGCTGACATCTCAATCCAATTAATATTAAATATCATTAATGTTATCATTTATAAATCATTAATTACTTAAACTTAAATATCTTCTAAGAAGCCTCCATCCAAATTGCAGTACAATCTGTATTTGGTAAATGAAAGGTAATCAAAAGCTTTACAATGAAAATTACAATGAAAATTAGTAGCATAACATGTAAGTTCTTGAAACCGATAGGATACAACGTTATAGATTTAAAAAAAAATTTTAAATAGTATTTTTTTCAGAAACTTGCTTTTTATGGTCTTAAAAAAGTGTCTGCGATTTAGTGAATGAGCCATTCATTTCTTAAATTTAAATAGCTTTAGTTCCAGATAGTACAATCTGCATTTGGTAAATTAAGGGTAATCCAAAGCTTTGTACTTAGAAAACTAAAGGGTCAAATATAAAAGATATTACTCAGCCTAGCATGTTCATGAAGATGTTAAATTGCAATTCAATGGATTTTAATGTATTTTTTTCAGAAACTTGTTTCTTATGTCTTTTAAAACATTTGTCAGCTATTTGGTGTATTTTGATCGATTAATTTTCTAGTAACAATGCTCCAAATATCCCCTGTTATTTTTTTTAATCATCCTGATTCCTGAGCTATTTCCACATCAAGCAAATTAATTTTTAAAATCACCTTCGTTTTGTGGAATTTGGAATACATACAAACTGAAACATGGAATAGAAAGTGTGGTCTAATTAAAAATAAGTTTATGTGAATAGTTATTTTAGTTACTCAATTTCAAAAATGTTGGCGCAACTAAAGATTAGGGAATCTTTTTAACAGTTCAAGATTTTGGCCTCAAACTTCATGTAAGGCAATTGTTGTTACAGTAGCGATAATAATAACTAGCTGCCTTGGGTGTACGGCTTAGTCACCCTTCAAAATTATCTTGTACAACATATGAACTTTAATGGTAACCAAGCCGAATACACAGTACATATTGAGACGAAATTAGGTGTGGTTGGAAGTTGTGTATGGTATAATTGACTATTTGAAGATTGTGATGAAAACAGAATAATGAAAATGACAGAAAACAGAAAAATGAAAATGACAGTTGAAGAAGAAAACTGGATTGGAAGATAATGAAAATAATACGTTTATTTAATACTTGTAGAGCTTGAGATACAAATTATTATTATATCTTTAATTAGACTTTCTAAGTTAAATAATAAATTTCGCATAATAATATTAATAAAGACAGGCCATGGGAGACAAATCCCCCATGACCTGTATAATCAAAAGCCAAATTAAAAAGTCATTGAATTGTTCCCAACAGACAGTTAGAATTATGAGAAGAGATGCATGGTTGGTAATTTATTGAAATGAATTTATAAAATTTATTGAATTACACAGCCAAAAATAAAGCCAACCTCCCATAAACAATATTAGGTTTCAAAATACTTTGATGATCACAAATCGCCAACAAGACTGTGAGAATAAGTATAACCATGTAACTGAAACATATCTGAGGTAAGAAATTTAAGAATAAAGAGTTATAAATAGATTTTTGTTTGTGATTAGGCGCTGCAGTGAATTAATGAGTCTACATTAGTATTGACATAGAAAGTTAGCCGTTACATTAATTGATAAGAAACGAATAAAATATTTTATGTTTGCTTTAAATAAAAATTAACTAATTGATTTAATTTACTTATAATTTGATTAAGAATGACTAAAAAAATAATTTTAAGAAATTAAAGAAATTTTCAAAGCTAGAAAATTTGTAATGCCCATTGTGGCATAACAGTACAATTGTATTTAAATATTCTAATTCTTCAAAACCCCTCTTCCAATCCTTACAGCTTAATTAGCTTTAAACAATATATAACTGTTGGCCACAGCTTTGCTTCTGCAGAAATGGATTTTAATTTTAACTATTTTCAAGAAATAATTGTGATATAGTCAAATTTCTTCGAAGTTTTATAATAATTTAAAATACGTCTGGCAGTGTCATTAAATCACACAAACTACCGTAAGTATGAGTTTAAGATATTTCAGCATAGTGGGCTGCAGAAGTATGAAAATTGTCGTGAGATAAGATAGAAAACTCATCCCACTGCACCATTACCTGCTGTACTATTTCCTCATGCACTTCTCGAGTCTGAGTGTCTTATAATTCATATATATGCTACTGCTCGAAAAAGGCCGTCACCAATAATTGGCAATATGCGGCACCATAGCATGGCCTATTTTGAAAATTTCTACAATTCTTTTAGAAAGGTTCAAAAATAAATCTAATTAATTAATTCGTAACTAAGTTTTTATTTCTAGAAAAATAAAACATTATTCAAAATAAATACTTCACATATAACTAACTATTCAACACAACTTAAATTATTACTTAAGACAACCTAACATAATAAATAATAACTATAATGTAGCCAATAAGTAGAGAAATACCAGAGTTATCGTGAAATCTTCCAGAATTTTTCTTATGAAATTACAGAGTTTATTTTGACAAATATATAAATAAACTTCTGTAATAATTTTTAAATTTCATTTCAGACTTTAACACCTTCCCAATCTTGGACTCCATATTCTCCAAGACCAAATGGTGAAGTTCCAAAGTCAAATGAAGTACAACCTTCTCCAAGCAATCATGAAATGAGTACAGAGTTATAATTACAATTACAAAACTAGTGCCAAATATTTGATCCTCAATGTTTATCTTTGCTTTTTATTGATAAACCAAAGTCTGTGCTAGATCTGAACATTGTAACGTTGTAGTAAATTTGTCTAAAATGGTTTTTTAGATTTATTTGCATTATGAAAATATTTAGTGTTTATTTGTATATATCATATTATTGGAAGAATTTAATATATGTTTTGAATATTACAATACAAATATTCTTAGTGTTTAGAAATAAAAACACTGTACATATGTAAATTAGAAGGGGAAAAAATCAATTAAAACTTAAAGCATACTATATGCTTTTGGTAAAAACTTGCAAATAATTTATTTAACATGTAGTGCTTGAATAGCTGCCAGTTTATGTGTGTTAATTATAATCATTGCAAATGTTAACAACATCACATAAATGTGTAAAAATTCTATCAAACATTTTACATGCAGAATAAACTGATTTCATGCACCATAAATAATGATTATATACATATTTCTCACAAATTATTATTATAAAGCAACAAGTTCTAAATTTCACAAGACATAGAATTTTCACCTAGTAATTTTTCAAAGCTGTGAAGAAAAGTTGTTTTTAAATAAAATGTAAAATTTCTTCATTAATAAACTTATTTATAATGAAGAATGCTGATTGTGTAAACAGAAATTCATTGCTAACATTATGAAAGTATCAGATTCTGCCATAGTCAAAAGTTTTGTATATCAAAAAAAAAAAATAAATAAATAAATAATGAATATCTTTCAATTGTAGGAAAATAAATTTTAAAATTAAAATATTTTGTTAGAGAAGGATAAATTGATAAAAAAAAATGCATATATAAAATCCATCCTAGTAAATTATCGATGATAAATTTTTACCAAATGGTAATTATTTATCTCACTTAAATTATTTTTCCTACAATTCTTAAATTAAGAATTAAGTTGAATGATACACCACTTAATTAAGATTAATTTGAGTTGCAATCAAAACTAATAACAGTTTTCATTATTCTAAATTTTAACTAGTGGAATTTTAAATAAGCATAGTTTAGGAATAAAATGACAATAAAATCCAATGTAGAGTTGTTAAATAAAAATACAGGAACTCCTTCTATAAAGCAAGGATATAAACTACGCTTTTAGGGGAAATACCTGAAGACAGAAAATTATTTTATTATGTAGATATACTTGATGCATTACATCTGTTTCTCTGCAGTATTTCATATGGATATTTGTATCAATTTTATATCACTTTAAGCCAAACTTTGCATTTAGTATCTTTTCATAATATTCAACATAGAACTACCTAGATGTGAACTTTTCTCAGTAACAAAACAAATTTTCTTTAAACATACTTGATGTTAGAATTATAGCAGTGTTAATGTCGTTTTTATTGAAAACATACACAAACGATTTTTGTAAAACATTTATTCATTAATACCTCATTTTATAATAACTTTGTAACAATTATTTTGAATATTTTGATAAAATGGTTTATATGGAATTAAGTTATTTTGTAAAAATATTTATATATGTTTTTCTTACTTTTGTAATGCCACATTTTGTATATATAATAAAAGTTCAACACAATCTAACGTATGTGTGGATGTACTTCTTGTTCAAAGTTTGATAAAATACAGCATAGTCATTTTTAATAAATAAAAACTACCTATTTTTAGAATAAAAAAATCAGTATGTGGGAGTGGGTTGAAATTTGTAATCAAATAAGTAAAAACTGCAAATCTAAATCAAAAGCGTGCAACTAATAACAGCAATATAAGTATGTTTTTTTTTCACTAAAAAAATAGGATAATTGGTAATCCACCATCTATGACAAAATATGCAACTATAAAATTTTTATAAATACTTTCAGATCTTTAAAATATGCTGAAAATAATGTGTACATTAAAGGATCATTTTATTATTCTAATAATATAAATTAATTAAAATTTTGTGTTTTAAGTTATTTTAGGTAAATAAATAAAACAAAATCGAAGCACAAAAGCCTTCGTTGAAACCATGCTTAGAATTGAGAAATAATTTAAATAATTTTTTTTAGTCTTTAAACTCTGAAAATGAATATTTTAAAAATTGCATAACTACCCTGTTTCTATTTATAAATATTCCAAATTAAACAGCAAAATAATATTTTAATCAGTAAAAACTTAGCTAAAACATTAATACTTATTAAAAATATAAAACTTTAAAAAAAAAAAAAAATGCAAAAATTTGGGTTTTTCATCATGTTAAATATGTTTTTCTTCAAAAGATAGAATTTTTTTTTAAAATTCAAACTTTTACAATCTGAATGCATTTAATGAGAAATGCTATTGATAGCAGACTATTGCACTACACATTAGCATAGACTCAGACAAAAAAAATTTTTTTCTTCCTTCATACTTTAACACAGACATTAAATAGAAAAATAGTAATGTTATTATTATCTATAAAACAACTTCAACTCATTTGGATACAGATGGTAACATATTTTCAATAATCTTTGAAAGCCACCATGATAAATAATTTCTAAATGAATAATTTTTCACTTAAGAAAATGATGCAAAACTTACATACTTATTAAAATATTTTTATTTGTATAAAAATTATTAAGTATCTAAGAAATAGTTTTATATATAATTCTGGTATAATGATAATTTTCAAATAACATTTTAGTAAATTAAAAATTGATTTACAAAATAACTGTTTTCAGAATCTTTAAACACTTATTTCTTGTCATTTGTTGCATAACTTATAATGTTGCTCAGACAGATTTCTCAATTTTTCAGCAGCCTAAAAAAGATTTCAATAAAAGTATCTAAATTAACATTAACAGAATCAATTTACTTCAAATGTGATTTATCGCATGAATTATATGATTAATCAGTAATTATGCTTACATGCTATAATGCATCATATAGATCAAAATTTATAGAGGGGGTGCAAAAAATAAGTTATGCCACATCCTCTGGGATAGGTAATTTTCAAGTGCAGGGAAAGAAAATGTTTAGATGGACAAAAACTTCTTTTCCTTTGTTATTGAGAGAGAATTAGAGTTAAAGAGAAAATGAAATAATTCTTAGTATCAAATCAAAATAATTGTTGCTTGCAGTCTTAATTAAAAGCCTTGATATATCAAATATGATTTTTTTTATTTGAAATTCTTTGCTTTATCTATCAATAGATAAAATAATATTATGAATGTTAATATTAATATATGGATAGATTGAAAACTTATATTGTAACTACAGACTCACTTAAAAAAGGACCCAAAAATGTGGAAGTCCTGTGTCCAAAGGACCCATAATTTCCAAACTCTAACGGAATCACTGTTTAACACAGGAATGATCAAAAGAAGCTATAGAATTTTAAAAAAAAGAACAACTGGAAAAATCTACCAGAAAAAAAGCATCTCTTAAATTTAACGCCAGATTCCATTCAAAAGAAAACAAGGATTTTAAAAAATACACAAAACTACCTCAAGTTTTAACCTTTATAATTTATTTAGAGCATATTATAATTATCTCTATATTTTAAAACTATGGTAAACATTTTGCCAGTAGGTTACAACATATTTGTCAACAAAGTATAAAGCAATCAGAATTTTTTCGGATATATATTTTAAAGTATAATCACTAAATATATTTTATAAACATGGACACTCACTCAAAAAGATGAGAATAAATTAAAAAAATTAAAGAAAAATATTTCAAAGTATTCTAAAAGGAATACAAAACTATGGTATTTGGCATAGAAGGACAAATTCATAACTGTATGAGAGTTATAAAGAACTAGATATCATGAAATTCATAAAATAAAATGAAGATTTAAATTGGATAGAACACCTTGTCGAAAACAGAAACGTCAAAAAGGTTTTTTATGGCCAAAGTAATCATACGTGATGACCGAACTACTAAAAATAAAAACAACAAAAACAACTTGCCTTGAGCAAGATCACAAAATACCTAACATTCAGAACTGGAAAACCAGAGCATCAAGAGGTAAAGATTGAAATCTGTTCAGGATATTGAATCGTCACACCATTGAGAAAAAAAGCAATCACTATACTTTAGTTGGATTTAAATAACAGTGTTTCCTAAATATACTATAAAAAGCATCCAAAATAATTTGTTTTAATGATAAATATTACAGTTGATTCATTGCAGGGAAAATAATACAAAGAATTCTTATACCTGTTCAGCAGTTAAATCTCGTTGAGCTTGTGCAAGCATTTCATATCCAACCATAAATTTCTTAACAGTTGCTGAACGTAATAGTGGAGGATAATAAGATGCATGAAGTTGCCAATGAGAGTAATCCTCTTCATTACTTCCTGTAGGAGCTCCTGAACAAAAACATTTATGTTAAATCTATAAAAACTAATTACTTTGCAATAGATATTCTTTTTAAGATTTATAACAATTAAAATATAATTATATAAACTCAGTCCTTAGTAATGCTTATTTATAAATATTTGATTTCATTTTTCACTATTTTCGTAGAATGTCAATCTCTAGCAATATTTTTCTACAGATATAAAAAAAAACAGTTATGTCCATTGTAGAAATGTTCACATTATGATTTATCTGTTATTATGATTTTATAGTCAAAGTTACAGTCCTACGGTTCAGTGATAAAAATTACTGTTTTAAGGGATTTCCATAATCTGTTTTAAATAATTTTGCTCCCCTTAATTACCTATATGTGCATAAATTTTTCAGTTTAAAGTCATAGTAGAAATGAAAAGCTTTGAAAAAAAAAGATATTCAATATGCAAAACTGAAAAAGACTAGCTTCCATGGACATAATGTAAACCAGTCCCACAAGGTTTGGTGCCACAAAAATTTTGCATTCCTTAAAGTAGGGGTGAACAACCTGCGGCCCACCAACTGTTGATGTGTGGCCCGCGGGAACTTCTAAACGCAATAAAAGAAATTCTATTAATTTGGTTTTTGTTTAAACATTATAAATTTTCTTAAATTAAAATATTTAATTCAAATTTATATTACTCTAAAATGCGTATATTTTTTGCATTTCATACTGAAAGCTTCTTTTTGGTTAGAACTTATATCCCCCCTAATATTTATGTATATCTATATATGTTTGATAAATTAATTATTGTGAAAAATTGAGAAAGTTTTTTAAAAATAAGTATAAGTTTTTTTAGTTTTAAATAAATTCAAATAATTAAAAGCTTTTAATTTTTTGCAAATATGTTATTAAGTTTATTGATAAAAATATTAAGTGCTTGTAACACTAATATTTATATAAAAATTATCATATTTGCCGCTAACATGACTAGACATGCGTGCGGCCCTTCACTCAAAAAGGTTGTGCACCTCTACCTTAAAGAAAAAACAACATTTAGGGACACAGCAGTAGAGGTTCTTGAAACAGGTTTGCATCCGTTTCTTCTCCAAACTAAGGTTCGGGAGGAGAAAAAAAAAGTTTTCTCTTTATATTTATTGTTGGTATTGAATTACTAAGATATTTCTCTGGGAATACATTTTATATCAGACATTTTGATTAAATCTGTTAACACATTTTAACATAGAAAGAATAAAATGGCGGCAGGCACCATACCTAACATGTAGAGTTGTCTAGCAACTGATTCACAAGTGATGTACTTCCTGACTGTCACGTAGCTTCCTATTAGCATGTGTTGGATCTTAATACATGTGATGCTTTGCTAAAGCTGAGCATGTTGCTCACCCTGTAAGTTGTTTCTTGATGTAGAATACCTAACTGAGCAGTTTTCTGCATTAGTTACGTATTATAAGAGCTGAACTTCTTCCCTTTTCTACATTATTTGATTCAAGTACATTGAAGTTTTATTATGTACTGGCAAGTTAATGACCAAATTTTATTTTATTTTTGTGCAACACATGTTATAACACTTACCACTTTTACTTTTTGACCAAACATTAGGTCAAAGCTTGATTTAAATTTAGTTCTATAACCTATTGTGTTTTGATAATCATTGATTTTGACAAATGAAACGATTCACATTAGTAAGGCTATATTGTAGAATCAAATAGAACTATTTAAAGTGTACTTTTGTAGCTTTCATACAAGAATAAATTCAATAATAATAAGAATATTGTAGAATCAAATAAGACAATTGAATGCGTATTGCTGTAGCTTTCATACAAGAATAAATTCAATGATAATAAGAAGAATATTTTTTTCATCCTAAATACAATTATTGTTTAAGAGAGCAAGATACAAATGAAGTTCTTGTAGCAATAAAGCGTTAAGAAACATTTTTTAAAGGTAGCAATTTGTAATAAAGTTGTTTCTTAGAATTTTTTTCCAGGTAATAATTTAAGAAAATCTTGGAATTTCTACTAAATAACAGCACAAGTTGGGGCAATTAAAAGGGAAAAAATATCGGCAAAAAGTACAATTCCATGCAGTTAGATATTGGAAAGAAAGGGGGAGAAAGAAAAGAAAGGAGTTAGAATTACAAAGATTATCAGTTAAAAAAAGCATACCATGCCATCCCATAGAATAAGGAAAAGAAGTCTCAAACAAATTATCATATTTTGTTAGTAACTGCTTCATAATAACAGCTAAAGCTAAAAAGAATAAATTATATGAATATTAATGGAATTCATAAAGAAAAGCATAATTAAATTGTGTAAACTTGAAAGAAAATTAGACTATCATTGAAAATTAAAATTCAACTTAAATATAATTTATATTTACTTAAAAAAATTCTTAATAAAATAATTTCCTTTTTAAAAAAATGAAATAACTCATAGTATGTTCCTTATAATTTAAATTGAGAACTACTTATAAGTCAAATTGAGACATTTTACTTCACAATTTTATGCTGACATAATGCCTTTTTAATAAGGTAATACCAACATAATACACTAACATTCTTTGTTTACGTCCCAGGAAACATTAAATTTTTAGCAATTCAAAAGGCTTTGCAGTGGGAAAAAGAAAAGATCAGGACAATCGAAAATGTCAAATTAAAAAGCATAGATACTATTATTAGTTTTAAAATAACTTTATTTAGTACAAAAAATTTTAAAGTTTCCAGTAAAATGGAGCACTACAACAACTTATTATAATGTAATACTATATATATGGAGAAAGAAATTTTTGATACCATTGTTGCATTAAAGTAACAAGTATCAATCAAGTAATGTTCTCACATACCAATATTTAATTAAAATTTGCAGTCGAGTTCAAGACTTTCTTAATCAAATAAATTTTTAATAAGATTATAACAATCTCGAAGCCGACCGGCCTGTGTAGGGGGAAGGGAACTGTCCTTGCATCAGAAAGGTCCTGGGTTCGAATCCCTGGCAAGGCATGGGTGTTTCTTTCTCTCTCTGTGTGTTCTATGTCCTTTCTCCTTTATGTTTGTGAATGTGACCCGCCCTATAAATGGGATTGTGGTTGTGTGAATGGTGCGGCAGAAGTCGAATTCTTGGCCATAGATGGCGCCACTGAAAAACAAGAAACGCANAAAAAAAAAAAAAAAAAAAAAAAAAAAAAAAAAAAAAAAAAAAAAAAAAAAAAACAATCTCGAAACGGAAACACACGAATATGCTAATAACATTTCTGTACAATATTAATTTAAAGAAATTAGAGTCGTTCAATTCACCATTTACACAAAATTCTGCGATATGATCACAATTTTGTTTAGAATCGATAATTTTTAAGTTAAATGAAAGAGACAAAATAATAATTATGAAATTACAAAACACCACAAGAAAAGTTGCTGCATTATACAAAAATAATAAATAAGCATGTGACCCCTGCTTATTAACCATCATAGAAATTTAATACTATAAAATTGTTAACTGAAATTTTTTTTTGTTGATAAAATGACTAAATTCTCGAAAAGTTTGAATTAATTAATTCTGAGGGTATAAGTCAGAAACTAGTGGATGGTCCCTAAGTCCAAACTATCGAATTTTGTGATTTTTACAAGCGTTACTAATTGAATTAAAAGATGTAGGATCAAAAACATTTCCATTCTTCAAATTAATTATTTAAAAGCTGCATTTGCAATCAAAGAATTTTGCAATTTTTAAAAGCATTATCAATTGAAATTCTCTTTGAGGTTTTGTTCACCCCTTTGACGTTGGTCTAAAAATACAATCATTTCAATTCTTCAAATTGATTATTTCAAAATCTGCATTTGCATTCTAAGAAACTGTGATGTTCTAAAAAAACACAAAAATCAGGAATATCAAGACAAAAAGCTAAGAATCAGGACAAAATGCTATTTTTCATTGAAAATCAGGACCACTTCAAACAAGAATAAAAACTTGTGAAACCTTAGATGAGATGTTTTTATTAAAAGGTGCAATAAATTTAGTCTCATATACATTAAGACTTTAGGGATATCTTATATCACTTACATAACTTATCAAAAGTTTGGTTTAAAACTTTTCACATTGAATTTTAGTTCCTAATAAAATATTTTCACTACTTAAATAGTCATGTTTATCAGTGGTTCAGAATTCACTTTAATGTAATTTCTTAACTGTTTCAGTATCTGAAAAGTCTATGCAGGTGGGATGTGGAGACAAGGGAATTATTTGCTTCATTTGCCCTTCTACCAAGATTGTGTTAGTGTAGTGAATGCATGTGAAAGTAATATCTTTGGATCATCATTTAGGAGAAATTCCGGACTGTTGACAATAACCCATAGATGTTGTTTTAGTGCAACGATAACAACCAAACTAAAAATATTACAATAAAAGTAGACAAATCTTTTAATACACAGAAATGAACAAAACTGAAAATAATTACTTACAAGATTTTTCATCTTCATTCAAATCAGGAAGTCTAAGAACATGCCTTTTAGGCAAAAGCATGGTTTCATAAGGCCAAACGGCCCAATAAGGAACTAAGGCAACCCAGTAATCATTTTCAACAACAATGCGATCCTAAATAAAGTTCAAAAATTAAGAACCTCAGTTTTTAACATGATTATTTACATTCATTATAAATAACTTAACATTTAAAGATGTATTAAAATCACTGAAAATATATAAAGAGTTACCATTCTAATGTTAGATCTAAAAAAATGCAATGTCTTTTTTTTTCAATGTGTGGCAAAATGGCAACTATAGCCCTTATAGTTTTAGTGCCACAGTAGAGAAAAAACTTTAAACTACTTGTTAGATTGGTGAATTTGTTTTCTTTCATTATTTTTAACTGAATTTAGGAAGTTCCTTGAAATCATTTAGTTATTTCCAGGGTGTAAATGATTTTAATCAAATGATTAAAATCATTGATTAAAATCATGATTTAAATCAAATGATTTTTTTTAAAAAAATCACTGATTTTAATCACAAAAAAAAACAATTTTGTGTATAGTCTTGAACATTTTTTGTATATTTTTCTAAGTTTCAAACATAAACAAGTAAGTAGACTGTTCTATATATTTCTCAGATCTCACTCATATAATTCAACATTTCTACTTTCAATGTGACTCATTTGCTTTTAAAAACAGTTTACATATTATATTTATAGTTCATTGAACAGTTTACATATGATTACAGCTATGATAGCAGCATGGAACATTACAAAACAAAAACAACAACATCATCAAATAATTAGAGCTAAATACAATGAGCTTAAAGGTACTGGATTAATTCGGCCAACTGAAGTGCGCTGGAATTCTATGTGTGATTCATTAGAAAGCTACATCAAGAATTGGTCAACTTTCATGCAAGTTTGTGAGGATAATAGGGATGATATCGACACCAATATCAGGTCAAAAGTCATGAATATGGCAATTAAAAGAAATGCAGAAGATATGCTTTTAATGTTAAAACCCATTTCTGTAGCATTAGATAAAATGCAAAAAGATAATTGTAGTTTATCAAATGTTGTCAACATCTGGAAAAATTTAAAGGAAACTCTGAAAGATTCTAATAATAATTGCTGCAAAAATTTTTTTACTAAACGATATGAACAAGCGTTAACACCAGCTCATTTCCTAGCTTACCTCTTGGATCCTAATTCTGAAGTACAATGTTTAACACTAAATGAAAAAGATCAAGCTGTAAACTTTGTTAAAGAAAAGTATGGAGAAACCTCCTTATTAAGTATTTTGCTAAAATTCATTGTACGCTCTCCTCCGTTTAATGGAACTTTGTTTGATAAAGAATCTCTAGAATCTTTAAACATCTTGGAATGGTGGAAATCAATTGCGCTTCTAAAGAACTGTGTAGGTCAAAAAGAGTTTGATGCAATACAGTTGTTATGTACTGCAAAAGGAACAACTGCAGGGATAGAGAGGATGTTTTCCACTTTTGGACTTGTACATACTAAACTACGGAATCAATTGGGTGTAGAAAAGGCAGCTAAATTAGTCCTTATGTTTAAATCTTTAAATAAAACTAATTAAATGATTGTTTAAATAATTTGATATTGTAGATGTAGAATTAATAATTATCACATATTGTTTGATAAACAATTTCTTTCTTGATTTGTAGTTTGAAATCACTTTGTTATTGTTTATTTCTTATTTCACCTTTTGCTTTTAAATTATTAAGAAATATTTTGTTGATAATGGTTAGTAATGTTTATTTCCAATGTATACCATAAGTAACAATAGTAATACAATACAACTTTAAATCTATGGTACACAAAATTGATTATATTCCATAGAATTGAAATTATAAAAAAATCATGATTAAAATCAAAAAAATCCGATTAAAATCAAAAAAATCCGATTTTTTTGATTTTTTTTAAAAAATCATGATTTTTATACACCCTGGTTATTTCTTTTATTTTAACTATACAAAATGCTTAGATATTAATTCTTGAAGGATGTTGTGTGTTAATGAAGACATAAGTACATATTGTAAAAAAATTTAGGCTTTATTTCAGACATTTTAATTTCATACCATTTTTCTTGTTAAATTTATTTCAATGTTGAATAAAATACATGTTTATAAGGATACTTTGTACCATTGATCATGTAATAGAAGAATAAATAGGGAAAAGTGTTATTTATGTAGATTTTTTCTCTGCTTACAGAAGAATTTACCACATGGCAGAATGAAATAGACAAGAGTAAATAAAATATAAGAGAAACAGTTTTTACGAATAATAGAACTAAAACCTAAGATAAAAGATATGAAACTGATTTAAAAATTTTCTGCATCTGCCCGAAACACTAACATATATCCACAAAATCCAACTGAATTTGATAATTTTTATTGAAATGAAGGCTTACTTTAATCTCAAAACTATAAATTGCAAAGAATTATAATTTATTCATACTACAAATGTAATCACACAAAAATATGGCAGAGACCCTAAATTATAATCCATACAATGTCAACTATTAAAATCTACTGGAACAACTAACCTTTTCCTTTTAGTATTAGTATATTTTAATTAGGCGAGGGGATCCATGCGGCTAGTAAAAACTATTAGAAAAAACTAGTGATTATGTCATGGTGAATTGTCCTTAAGTATTATCGTAGATGATTAACAAGTTAAGAGTTGAATAATTAGTTTTGCTAAGGGAGATTGATAATTTAGTTCCTCACGGCTCATGCTAACTCTATGTAAAAATTTAAATTTATAGCATAAATGTATCAGAAAGTAATGAACCAATTTTGATACTAATTTCTTGTAAAGTTTGATAATATAAGTGATAAAAATTTTTATAATAAGCTATTTTGTTTTCATTAATGAGAGTTGCTGTTTTCACATCATGCGACTAAGAAATTTTTTTTTAACTTGGAATAAGAATGCTTAGTTAATTAAGCCACAGAGAACAATATTTTAGTGAGCAACATCAAATAAAAATAATCACATCAAAATTAGTTCACTAATTCCTGAAGTATTTGTGAAAGAAGTTCTCCTTTTCAGTCATGTGACATGTGTTACCCGTAGCAAATTAGGTATACAATGATCTATGCCACAGATAATTATTTCAAGCAAATTTGATTGTAGATTACGTTTCATGCAATTTTTGTTTTCAACCGAATTGTAAGGTATGCATTTTTTCTACATAATTTTAAAGTATGTAATTTTACATGACAAAATATGAACTTTGAGCCGAATCAGTTGAATAGTTCATGTACAATGTTACAGTAATTCATTTTTAAAAGTAAAAATCTTATTCATTCAGAAGCAGTTAAAAGAGAAAAAAATCAAGCATTTAAAGGGAAAAAAATCAAGGCTGTAAATAATATGCTCTGAATCTGTTTTTTCTTATTTATAATTAATTAAAAATATTTAATATCAATTGCTTGAAGTATATTCTAATGTTTATCATAAAGGTTGAACACTTTATAATATTTTATTAAGTCATATTTTATTTTATTAAAGTAGGATATTTTTCAAATACTGTTTGTTTTCTACTTGAAGCAATTTAATAATTAATACACAAATATGCACTCAATGTAATTCTATAGTTTGGAATCAAAGTACAGTAATTCAAAGAATATTTTTAAAAAGAAAAATAACAAGTGGTACACTAAACATATAAAAAACATAATTTTACAGGTACACTAATCGAAAAAGGTTTACTATCTCTGTCTTAGACAGTAGATGACACATCAATAACAATAGAAGTCAGCGAAATGGATCAAAATGACTCTTAAATGAAAAATTAGTCTGATGTTCTAGAAAATGTTTGTATCATCCAAACCTTTTCTAGTAATAATGATAAAGAATTGTATAAAAAAAATTTCAATAAGATTACAAATCTGGAGCATAACACCTCTTAACAAATATCACACTAACATGATACTACAAGGGGCCATTGCTCAGAGGTTTCTATGTATTCAGTATACTATATATGTGGAATTTCTATGATTTGAAATAAATTGATTTTCAGAACAAATAAACTTAATAAGTTTTAATTTTGGTTGTTAATACTAGGCTTATAAAATGAATTACCTTGACCATTTTTTAATGCAGCAATAGCATTAATTGTAAGTTTTGATATTAACTACATACTTAGTGTAACAAAAGAAAAAAAAAACAGAATCTTGCCCACATACAAATAAAACAATTCCGTCTTCAAAAAATTTCCCAATGCAAAAAAAAGAAAAGAAAAAAAGGAATTTTATATCCTAGTTATTAAAAAGTGAATAACTAAACTGCAAAATATGAAAAAATCGAGTTGCAAAAATAATGTATTTTAAATGTAAGGTACATTATTTTAAATACTCGAAAATGTGACAATATTACAAAGTAAAACCACTCTTTCATTTTTTTATATTTTCATGTGATCTTAACACCAGATAAATTGCAAAATTAAAATTTACCTTTCTTAAAAGTTCTTCTTTCAAATATTCTATAAGTAAAGGAACCTTATTCTTAGAAAAATAATTTCTTTGCTGGATATCTTCTATTCTAGGTTCATCAGGTAAAAATGAGCTTGCCCAGATCTATTTGATTTTAAACAAAGAAGTAAAAATAAATAAAATGTTATATTACATAGCTTAATAAATCTTTTCAATACTTGACCTGAGAAATTTAGAAAAAAATATGGATGTTTTTAAACTTGTTTATAAAAATAGAATTTAAAATGATACTCTATCTAAAAGCTTGTTTTAAAGTAAATAAAAAGGTGAATTTAAAAATCTTTTTAAAAGGTACAAATTTAAATAAAAACATTACTAACTTGCTAAATGTGAATTTTTGATCACTTAAGCTAATAAGGCTTTTTAAAAATAGTATAATAATAAGCATTTCATTTAGTTTTAAAAAATGTGAGACAAAACAGTTATTGCAAGAACATAAATACACCTTTAAAACATTTATTTAAATAAGCAATGAATAAAATAGTCTTTTTGTAGCGAATATTACGATGTTGTCCACATATTTTAATTAAGTGTATAGGATATTCATAATAATGGCAAATTGGATATTAAATTTGTAGACTCTTTTGCATTACTACAGAGTAATAATTATGTATACCTAATTGTGCCTCGGTATAATACCATTATCTTGTATGCTAAGAATTCTTACAGTGAAAATTCTTAAAATAAAAAAGACTACCCTATTGACTTAATATTTAAAAAGGTTACAAAAAGATACCTTCCAATTTTGTGAAAATAGGATCCTAATTTCATGGAAAATCACAAAAACCAGAAATCTGTTCAGAATTTTTGTGAAAAGCCTGTTTTAGTAAAATTGCGAAAAATCTAATAATAATTTTATGAAAAAAGGTTCAGTTTTCATGGAAAAAAAAATGCCACAAAAACCATGTCTTTCTATGAATTTTAGTTTTAAAATTATGAATTAAAGACAACATTGACTTCATTTTTCAAAATAAAAATTTTATAAGGGTCCATTTTTGCAACAAAATATTTTGAGAAGGTTTCTTTTGAACAAAGAGCTATTCTGTGTGTGTGTTAAATGATAAAAATTTTGTGAAAGAAACCATAACTAATGGGTCCAAATTTCTCCTAAAATATACACTGGATGAATATCATATGGTAAAACAACTGAAGGAAAAAAAGTAGGTACATGAAAAGATATTTGAATACTTTGATATCTATGCTAGTTTAATGAATAGCATCAACTAATTAACAAATATTTTAAAATTGAGGAAAATATCACTTAAATAAAACAACAATCTACCACACAGAATACTTAACAAAATGAAAATGTAACAATGAAATAAGGATCAATTTTAAGTAGTGATAAGGAATACAGAAGAATATAATGATTGCTGATAAAAATAAGAACTGTGAGAAAGAAATGAAAGAAAACAAAGAGAGTAGAATAATAAAAGTAAGAAAAGTTATAATTTTCAACTATTAAATAAAATATATTATAAAACAATAAATATAATTACAAACTTGGCAGTGAGGATGAGGATTTGAGCAACCCATTATTTCCCCTTTGTTCTCAAAAATCTGTAAAATAAAAATTTGCATTATATAACACTTAATTACACAATAAACATCTAACTTTGTCGTTAAACTTAACACAACTTGCCTTTTTTTTACATTATTGGAACATAGTTCTACTGTCAAGTATAAATCAACGTTTATTAGATTTTAGTCTTAATTAAAATAAACATTAAGATTATTTACTCAAGAAAGTTTTTTTAGATAAAAATTAGTGCCCTTTCAATTTTACTTACTCTTTTTTATAAGTGACGAAAGATAATATAATTAATCAAAAATAACCCTATGTCAAGGTACTGCTTTAGACAAATATAGCTTTCAAAAACATTGAAAAAGAAATATATCTAAATTAGTTTATGCATTACTCAAAATGAAGAGACACATTCCAAATTTAATAACAAAAATAAATATTAGACAGGTTCAAATTGAGAAATAACTTTTAATTAACTTTTTCGAACTAGTAACTTTCTTGGCAAATTCATAAAAATTGTCCTAACAAGATCTCCTCAACTCTATATAATATAAGCATATAAAATTGATCAATCAAAAAGAAAACATACCATAATAATAGAGGAAAAAACATGATCTTCATTGATAAATTTATGTAAGATTGACAAATGAATAGTTGACAAATACTGTTGAATAGAATTTAATATTTATTTTCAAATCAATTTTAATTAGCTATAAATAAGTTCAATAAGGGGTTAAGCATTTTCTTTCCTGAAAATTACAGCATATATAAAAATGAATAAGTTTTTTAAAATTCTTGAGAACATATTTTAAAAACGTAAGGCAATTAAATTCTCACCTGAACCCATTTAAACTTTGCTCCAAGTTCTACCATTTCTTTGATCCATGTGTTGATCACTTCAAGAATTTCTTGCACAGACATCAAAGGCAAAGTTGTATTTGACTTTGGGTGAAAACACATCACACGGCAAACACCTTTAGCTGAACTTGATACAAATAAAGGATGGTCAGCTGGTCCTTTACAAATGAATACAAATAAGTGTTGCATATTTAAAAACAGGGTGCGTAGCAAGATTTTTCAACAAAAATAAGCACCTTTCAAGTACATTTTAAGCACTCAAGGAATATTTTTAATCACTTTCCAAAAAAAAACAATCATAATTAAGATATGTGTTGTAATAAATAAATTTTTTTTTATCGTTTTAAGTTCTTTATTTTATGAACATAAAATCAACAAAATTTAAAAACATTTTCAAATTTACATTATCATGATAAAAATAACTAGTTTCTGATAAATATTGCAGAGAAAATTGTGAAAATCATGCATTTGTTTGTAATTCATGACGACTATCGCCACGGCAAAGAAAAAATTTCTTTTTAAAAGATAGAAATTTAAGCACTTTTTACAAACACTGAATAAAAAAAGCACTTTTAAGGGCTTTCAAAAAACGTAAATCAAAAATAAGCACCTTTAAGCACTTTTTAAAAATGCTACGCACCCTAAAAAAATATAAATAAAATCCATATTTTATTTAATACCACACAGATGACACCTTTAGCTCAGTCAATGTGATTAAAAAAAATGATCAAATAAACCAAATAAATTGCTGAGATAGTCTTCAATCACAACTGAATAAGCAGCCATCTACCTCTTACATACTTATCCACTTTTTTAAAGTTAAAACGGAGCTTAAAATGTTAAAGGCGAATGTATTTTTAATTACTAGCACCATTAAAAAGCAATTAGTTAATGAAAAAGTTGTGTTACTTCTTCTAAAATTATTTTCTATGTTTTTAACGGCTTCAAGTCATTAAAATACGATTTCATTATGCTACATAAAAATGTAATAAAAATACCTGGATCAGGAACAGTTTCCAAAAGAGCAGGAAAATCATTTGGAAAAACATAAGTACTTTCATAAAATGGATTAATCTATAACAAAAATAAGAAGAAAAAAATCAAATGTCTGTAAAACATGTACAGCTGCCAACTTTTATACATTTTGTGTAAAATTTTAATTACAAACTTAATGTGGTTATCGTGCAAGATAATTATAGTGCAATTCAGTACATTGCTTTTGAATTAAAATAGGGAAATATCTGAGATATGATCAAACAAAGAAAATTACCCTTCTTTATTATGCAGCATTTTTAAAATTAACATACATGGCAACATTTATAACTTGAAAAATATTATGCCCAGAGATTATCAGACAATCTGTTTTACAGAGACCAAGACAGCTTTTTTTTTAAGCATTCTTTTTTATAGAATTTTTGTAACACTTTTCCGCAAATTCAAGTTCCTAGTGAATGCTTACTTGCTAACAGATGCTAGAAGTATGGCGAAAGGTCCAAGAATTGGTCAATTATAAAAAAATAATACAGATAAAAAATAAAGCCAAACTCACATTATTAACATTAAATTTTAAATAATCTGGCTAAAGATTTATGGACAAAGAATTTGTTAGAAATTAAAGTAAACCTAATAAAATATATGCCAATGTTTCATATGGTTGAAGAAAGAAAGATTAAAAATAGATTTTGATACTCACTTGTTGTAACAATAAGTAATAATTAGTTATACACTTGTATTGAAAAAACAAGTTATATGTTACAGTATTGAAAACAAAAATCTTTGCATTCTCTCTTTATAAAATGGGATGAAAATTCAATAATTGATTCAATTTAATTATAGCAGGACTAAGAATACATAAAAAAATTAAATTTAAGAAGTTAGAGAAATTTCAAAGCTAGGGAATATGTAATGCTCATAATGGCTGCCCAGTGTTAGTAAAGCTTGTGCTTTCTTTTATTTTGCGGACTTACAAATTTAATTTAAAATAACTTTGACCCTTACTGCATATAAATAAATTAAACATTCATATAAAAGTATGATAATCATACGATGATGTGTTTAAGCTCTTACAAACTATAAAATATATTTCTGCACATGACTGTCATTCAATTTTAATTTACTACCACTTGGGAAAATCATCTTTGAGAAGGTTGAAAGTTGGCAGGTATAAATATGTTAAATGAAAAAAAAATCAAATATTACACACACATAAATTAGAAACAAATTAAATACAAAAGAACACATGACATAAATTTAAGTTTTAGTAATTACCAATAACACATAAAAGAAATAAATTACTGATTTCAGAGCTTAAAATTAACTTTCAGATAAAACAGAAAACTTTTGAAATTTATGCCGGATTATTTTTAAAAAAAAACATACAAAGTAATAAAAATTTAAATTTTAAACGAAAATTAAATAGTATTATCTTTCTCCATTACTGTTAAATAGTATCTTTGATGAAAATATTATAATAAAAGTTTTCTGTAACCAAAAATAAATTGGCGATCAAATTGGACTACAGGTGGCATAGAGCAGAACTCTCTCTACCTATGGCACAACACTTTGCATGCTTTCACCATTAGCAGGTGAAGAGTCATAGAAGAAAGAAGTATGTTAGTTTCTGTCTTGATCCTCAAATAGATTTAAAACTTTTAAAATAGCTCTAAAAAAAAAGCATTGTGAAAATTAAAAAAATATACTTTTGACAATTAAATACGACAAAATATTAAGAAAGGGGGAAATATTGTGACACATTCTTATACAACTGAAAGAGGAGGGGAGGTAAGGGATGAGGATCAAGACATGGAACTCGTTTTCTTCCCAGATGATGTATTCAAGTAATTGCAAATAGAAATTTAACTGACAATTTCATGAAATTTGAATATTATGGAAACTGCATTCCTTGAGGTAAGTTCATTTGGAAGGTACAGTTTTTCTGATTTCTGCAATTACACTGAAGTTCAATTTGCCAAATATATTACAGTAGATAACAGCACTGCATTGGATAAAAATTTTATTCTCAAACATACTTATACTCAAATAATTATCATCATTTTATTCTCAAATATACTATAAAGTACTTTATTAATACACTGGTTCTCAAATATACTTATTGATTTTTAAATCATAGTCAGTTAGTTGAATGATTAATTTTAGATTTACAACTGATTTAAGTTTAGCTTTCTAGGATAAAACTACAAGAATTGAGAGGTCAAAAGCAAGCACTTGTACCCTTAGAAATAAAAGAAACAAAAAATTATGCATACATTTTTAATAATTAATATTTTTATCTAAATTAATTAAAAATTTTCATATTTTTAATATTGATGTGCTATATTAAGCTGCAAATATAGTAATAAAGTAACGTTATGATGAACTGATAATATGTTTACAAAGTAATAAAATAGTAGTTCTCTTTTTTTTAATAATTTTCTGTCATACCACTTTTAATTTAAATAAAGGGAAAAAAGTGTTTTTTTTTCCATTGTTCTGCTCAATCCTTATTAAAAAGACTAATGTAACTCATTTAGGTTCATCTTCAAAAAGTTGAAGACTAAAAAATGTTTTTAGCAAGAAATACAAAGTCTCTCACAATAAATAAATTTAATACTTAATAATAATTTAATTCTTAATACTTAAAAAATAAATTTAAATGCATACAAAATATTCTAACATCGACAGTCAAAGTAAATTCCATCAATTTCTTTTCTAAAAACTTCAAAGCAAAAAACTCATTATCAATAACAAGTAAAACATACTTCACCACTTGCTCTTTTTGCACCAGGACATAATGGATTATCAGGATCGTGAGAAGGAATATCTTTTTCTAATGCTTTTTCTACTTGTCCTTGCCAAGGTCTTCTGGCACGATGAGGTGAAACTAATACCCATTTATCATTTAGAGGATTGTATCGTACATGCTGATGCTCTGCAACAAAAATTTGAATACAAATTATCAAAATATCTACAGCTTCAAATAAAGTAAATTTAGTGTGTTTTTCAAAATTTGTGCATCAGCAATTAGCAATTGTGTTTGAATTTAAACTAAATTTCAGTGTCTGTGATGAAAGTAAAAACTAAACATTAGAATTGGAAAAATTTTACACTTGAATCATTCATGAGCAAATTTAAAAAGCACTAAAATGTCTTTTAGAGATTTTAAAGAGCATTAAAATCTCTTAGAAAAAGAAATTTTATAAGAGATGATAAGATATATAAAGAACCAAATTATAATTAGGATGTGTACAAAATTATAATTAGGATATCACAGTGTAATGCAGAATCATTTTTTCCCCTCTAAAGAAATAAAACCTTCAAAAGAATTTATAATTTTATGATGGTGTAAGCACAAAAGAGGAAGTAAATTTTTTTCCTGTTTTTTAAAATTTCAATAATAATAATTCCTAAAAATAAAGCAAAAAAAAGGTAAGAAGTTAACTTATTCATTAATAATTCTGGTTAAATGTGTATTGGCATGGCAAGGTTATGTATACAACTTGAGTTTAACTCAACAGTCAAAGCCAGCATTTGAATTGTCACAGCAACTTGTAACTTTGAATAAATACCTATATTCATACATCAATAAATCACACAATGTTTGTGCAGAAATTAAGAGATTATTTTTTTAACAGATATAAAAATTAAAAATGAATTTTGCTTTTGTCTGAGTTTCTGTCACAAAATAGCACACAATATCATAATTGTGAATATTACACATTCTCTGCTACTTTAAATCAAATTTCAATTTAATTTTTTTAATGCTTAATATAATGATTTACTCATGATAAATGTATAAATTTAAATCGTTCGACCCAGCGATTAAATAATGACGAAATTTCAAATTGTATAAATATCCATTGCAGTTTTTATTAGTTTATGAAAATTTAAATATTGCGTTTGTTAAATTAATTTTGCTTCATACTTTTTTAAGTTTTTATTATCTGTTTACTTCGAATAGAAGCATGTAAACAGACCAGTGAAAATGTGTACAGACAAGCAAGGTTAAACACAGGTTTTAAGGGCCTGATTACAGAATTTATGGATCTTACTCAATATGCAAACATATCTGAGATTTATAATTAGTAAACTACTTGAAGAACCTTTACTCAAAATTGTAGTTTTTAGATATATATATATATAGAAATTCTCTTCATTTTTCTTTTAAAAAATACTGAATTCTTTGTCTATAATTTATACAGCACTCTGGGACCCTTTCTTCCTCACCTTGAGTATGGCTTTGGAAATTTTGACAGTTAATTATCTGTATTTATAAATTGCATTAAACCTTTAACTGATTTGCTACATTTTTGGCAAATTTGTATTAAAAAAGTATGTTGCTCATAACAGTATCTCAATTGATTAACATGTAACAAAACTAATTTTCTGTACAGGAAAACAAAATGGTTGTACGCCATTCTGGATCAATGGTTGTAAAGAAAGTAATGCAATGAAGCTGTATTGCAGTGATCAGTGTCTTCACTACAGCGCGAAAATCTTGCCTATTTTTTTCTTTTCTCGCAATAAAAAACGATTAACGCGAGAAGTTCGTGCACTCTATTAATCAATTTCAAAATGCACAAATTTTGGAAAAAATTTTGTCTTTTGTCCCTTTGAATAAAATCCGTTTCACTTTTCTTCCTTGATCTTTCATTATTTTGAACATCGGTCCTTGTTATCTAGCTTCCCTATTTATCAGTATTGTTCAGAACCGGTGCAAACAGGAGAACCCCTTTCAGAACACATTTCTCTGCAACTGCGTGTTCACCGTAGGAAAGTTTCTTCATGTAAGATGTTTAAATATTTTGTGTATGAATGTAAGGTGGGCAAATACCTTGTTAAGGCGACATCTTCTACTCCGTAACGAACAAATGAAAATGAAACAAATGTCGGTAGAAACGGTCAAAACGAAACAAATACGGATATTTTTCAGCGAAATAAATATAATAATAGCCGATGAAAAAGTAGATATAGAACATTTTCCATATGATGATGCAGCAAAAATATTCAATTAGAAGATGTGAAAAATGTATTATATAAAAGAAATAATTTTTTTCCAAGTCTATGCGTGTTTTTTTAATTTTTAGAAATCTCACTTAACTATTTGATATCTCACCCTGTTTTTGAGAAAGGGTGAAAAATTCTCTCCCATTTTTTTTTTCTGTAATGAATACACTGAGTGATGTAATTGGTTTTATATAGATATCAATTATTTTAATATTATTGCTTTTATTTTAATAAAATAAATCACCAAAAAAAAACATTAAATAAATAAATTTATTAAATAGCCATCTCACATAGATTCTTTTGCACACTATAACTAGGAGTGCATAAAAAATAAATAGCCAAGGAGAGGGAATATGTAGAATATTCAGAAAATATTAACTCTATTTCATAGAACACTTTATGCTGCCTAAAAATTAAATACGGTATGGAATTTATTTAAATGACTTGCATATTTCACAATCAAAATATATTATTTGCCATTAAATAAATTAAAAGTTATTTTTAGACATAAGTTTACATTTAACAATAACATAAGTTTACATTTAACAAGTATTGGGCTCAAAAGAAACTTTGTTAAGTTTTGTACTAAGTTTTAAGTAACAATTCATTTCATTAATTTAGAAACTTAAAATAGTTGCCGTGAGATTTATTCAATTTAACATATTTCAGGAAAAGCAAATATATTTCTATCACACAGAGAATTTATTAAAATGAAAATTAGTTTAGGCATTAAAAAAAATAATAATAAGAGGAAATGGCTACAGCTGTTGTCGAAATCTCTTATTTTAACTCCTTTTTTTATAAAAATTTATTTTCATAGACACAAAAAATATAAAAATTTTAGGCTGTATCACAAATGTCATTTATCAGATCAAAGAAAAATTACCATTAAAAGGCTATCAACTCAAGGTCATGATATAATTTTTGATTAATTGACAATTTTTTTTTAAATGCATTATTTTTGGGCAGTTTGATCTCTATGAACACAATGTATAAAAACTTTAAATGCTTAAACCCAGTTTATAAGTCAAGCTGAATTTTTTTTATTTTTTAAATAACTCGGGGAGATTTCCGCATCCTGATTTGTAGCAGAATAATCGCCAAGTCTTGTCAACTTCAGGGCAGCGGCCTGTGAAAAACTAAAGAAAACATCAGTGAAAGGGACCAACTAGAAATGTATAACTCGCAGAAAACTCCCGGGCAAGTATCTACTTGCTTTCTTAAAAAAATTTCAAGTTTAAAATCTATTTGACACCTCAGCGATGGGGATCGGATATTTTGGTATTGTGATCGGTAGCACCAACTACAATTGCCAATATGTCAAATAGATTTTAAACTTGCAATTTAAAAAAAAAAAAACATGTAGATGTTTGCTTGGGGGTGGCTACGAGTTATACCTTTCGAGTTAGTCCCTTTCTGTGATGTTTTTATTAATTTTCTCGCAGGCCACTGCCCAGAAGTTTCCAAGACTTGGAGATTATTCCTCATTTTTACCAACTTTCATACATTTTAATTACTTTTAAATAAATTTGAAACGGGTTGAGATTTACAAAGCCTTGCTTTCAATTTTTAAAAATAATTTTAAAAACAAGTAAGTTAACAAAAGTTAGATCAAGTTTGATTACACCGAAAGTCGTTTTAACAAATATTATTAAAATTGCTCAACTTTCTTTCTTTAAACTAAGATTAAAAGCATATTTCAAATTTGCAAATGCTACATTCGTAACGATGAAATTATTGTACTGCTGCAGATTATAAAGATGACAAAAGGGATTATATATCGTCTTTCGAATTTATTTTTCCCTAACTTATCAGTCATCAGTATGAATGAATTATCATACATGAAACTTTCAAAAGATCAGTAAGATGCATGAAAAAGATCAGTATTGTATAAATAATGATACATGAAACTTTAAGATAATAATATTAATATAAACATGAACGTTTTTTATTCGATTATTATATTGAACAATTGTTAGATAATATCAAATACCAGTAGAAATAAATGTTGTCATAATAAATAGGTGATAAATAAGCACTTGATAATAATAACACAGTCACAATTAAAAAAAAACAATCTAATCAAGAATGTTGAAGGGGTTAAATAAATTCAAAAAAGTCATAATCGTCTCAATTAAACTCTTCAAAAGGTAAACAAAATATTACGCAATGTAAAATGTGACAAAATTTAAGCCATTTGAATAAAATTTGCTTGTAGCTTTAGTATACAGTATGTGAAACACAACTTCAGCTTGTAAATAGAAAGAAGCTGCCGGAAACGGTTTTGATAGCTTTCGTTTTCTATCAAGTTGTAACAGTTTTGCTATAATGTTTTGCAATCCTCTAATATTGCGAACATTATCCATAACTATTTCTTTCATTTGTTTAATTGATTAACTGTAAAAATGGAAAAAAGTCAAAGTGAAGTGACTGATAAAATTAGACATTCAATTAAAGAGAAATTGAAGAAAATGAACACATTTGTTGATGATGAACTTCCTGAGTATATAATGATTTTGATCGCAAATAAACGCAGCAAACATCATATGGAAAAAGATTTATCCTTATTTTTGGGAAATCAAACAGGTGAATTTACTAATTGGCTTTGGGACTTAGTAAGTGCATTTAAAACTGGTGGAAAAACCAAAAGTTCTAAATCTAACCTTAGTTTGGATTCGCAAAATATTGAAGAAGACGATGTTTTGAGTTACGATCCGACAGAACAAGATGAGTCTTTATTCTTGGAAGAGGTAAACGAATCACCTGCTGATAAAGAAAATACATCTAAAACTGAAAAATCTGAAGATTCAAAAATTGCATTGTCAAGTGATGAGGAAATACCTGAGAATCCCTATATATCTCTAAGTGCTGCTGATAAAGTTCAACAGAAAATTACAATAAAACGTGAAATAGATGATTCTAATATTTCTAAAAATGAAGTATCAAAAACTTCATCCAATGGTCAATCGTTGCAAAAGTCAGCTAAAGTGTATCCTATGCAACGAATGAAACCAGCTTCCAATACTGCTCCTACAAAAGAAAGTGTTTCAGTTAAATCATCTGAGCTCCCCAAGACAGAATATAGTGGTGTAGCTAGTGTAGTTTGTTTTACCCAAAGGAAATATGGTGGAGCTACTGCTGCGCTTCAAGCTAATAAACTGTTGTTAAGAGCTGTTAATGATGCTACAAAGTCTGTATTAAGTGGCAAAAATATAAAAGATTATTATAAACCAACTCCTATCATAGAATTGGCTGAAAACAAAATGCCTGATGGGGAAATCAATGAAATTGTTCACACGGAAAAAAAGGCTTTTGATGGTTTAATTAATGATCAAGATACTAAGTTAGTAAAGTATGAAATGCAAGAGCCTAATACTGATAATTCAGAAAATACTACATCAAGAAAGATTGTAAGTTTAAATTCTGTTGAAATTGGAATTTTCGATGGAGATTCATCTCATCAGTTAAGTACAAGTGACCATAAACCTGTTAAAATTGAAGAAGAAAATGCTGTTACTCCGCATTTTATTGTGACTTTAGATGGTGTCAACTTCTCATCGGTGAAAAGAAAGAGAAGCATCATTTCTGAAGAAGAGCCTATGGATATTGATGAAGAGGAAGAAGACTATGATGAAGTACCTGAGCAAAACGATGAAAAGAAGATGAAGATAGCTGAACGATGCAAATACTGGCCTGCGTGTAAAAATAATGTTGAATGTGCATATCATCATCCAACGGTACCTTGCAAAAGTTTTCCAAATTGCAAGTTTGGTGACAAATGTCTTTATATACATCCTAATTGTAAATTCGATGCTAGGTGTAGCAAACGAGACTGTCCTTATACTCACTGCAGTATTCGAAAATATCCTATTGCACCGATTGCAGTTATCAAACCACTAAAGATTCAGAAGTCCAAAATTGTATGCAAATATTATCCACGGTGTACAGCTAAATCTTGTCCATTTATTCATCCTAAATTATGTAAGTTTGGTACTCAGTGTCATGCACCCAAATGCCCTTTTGGTCATTTTCAAATTCCTAATCGAAGTCAAATGAAGTGGAAAGCAGTTTGATTGGTTGATTAACTTCAAAACTTTAGTTTTCAGTCCAGTGTTATATTTTGTGCATTGTTAAGGAAACTAACTGCATTCATTACATTTTATTTAAATTAGTTTGAAAATGCAAGTTGTACATTATTCTGTAATATACCATACATTTGTTTGTTTTTGTTTATTAATAAATTGTGCATTAATATGTATCAGTTTCTTCTTTATGTTCATTTCAATTGTTTTTTTTTTTTAATTTGCATTTAAGTTGTAAAATAAGGATGCAAAGTTTTTTTGAAATTAAAAAAATTATCACTGTAAAAAAATCAATATTAATAATGAAAAGAGTCATTTAAATAAATGCAGAAAAGTCTGAGCAATAAGCAAATAGCAGTCATAAGCAAATGTGTGTATTTCATATTAAGGAAGAAGTAAGAATACCTACTAAAAAAATTTAATCGACATATTTATTTTTCTTTTATTTTGAACAACAATTTTCATTTAAAATATATATCTGGAATAAACTGCTTTTTGTCTAAAGAATTAAGATAGAATTACATAGTTTTTTAAGAGTAAAGAAAGTGAATCTGTAATAAAGGACAGAAACTTTTAGGTACTACATGAATGGTTGAACAACAAGATTTTTGTAAGGAAGAATAGTGAAAGTTTTTTTTTTTAATTGTGAATATTTTTTTAACAGTGATTGCAAGAAGAAAAATAAAAGGGCATGATAAATAGATGTTCTCAACAAAAAACATTCTTTAGAAGTACACGGATTGATTTCTAAAATTAGTGCTGTAAATCAAATTATACAAATATCCTTTTAAAGCAATGTTAAAGCTTTTAAAAGTTAAACATGTCAGTCAGAAATTTAATTTATGCTATCTTTTATGATTATTAAAAAAGGCTTCGTAGTCTTACTGGAATCCTAGATTGGGCAACATATTTCTATAAATAAGGAGATCATTTGTCCTTGAAAGAGAAACAACTATATGACATTGCAAGAGCATTGGATTTGATTTTACCACTAATAATGGCGCATCTTATGCTGAGATGCCCTTAACAAATCAAATGCGAGATAAAGAATTTTTACTTTTGTTTCGCTCTAATAGAAAATTGTTTGCAAGAAACAATATTTATTATTTCATCAGTTTCTTTAAATGCGTACAAAAAGACATATGTTTGTTACGATTTTTAGATTTCATATTTAATAATTCTTATTACTCATTAATTGATTATTGTTGTTAATAAGAAAGCAAGCAAAAGGGAGGCTGCACAACCTCGTTTCAAGAGTTGACAATATTGATCGACCTTCGCACTGGGAGCTTGGCATCCATTTGGTGTGCACTTAGATGCAAACAGGCTCTCTCCATAAAGATAATGGTTTTTACTTAACTTGCAACAAAGTATAGAACTTTTGTGTTAGGAGATAATTTTACCAAAGGTTGTACACACACTGCATTACATAAATAAGGGGCTAACATTGTAAGAAGTAAATTATGTTTTTTTTAAAATCCTTTTTCATATCAGAAATGAAAATTATTTTCCTGTAATTTTTTTTGTTTTTTGTATAGCATTGCTAACTTAAAAAGCAGAAAAAGTATTTCCTAAGTAAGATTTTGTCATAATAACTGAAAGCTAATAATTTTTAACTTGCTATAAACATAAAATTTTTGTATCTTTAATATTAGGATTTTGAAATTTGCCGTAATGGTGAATTTCTCATAATATGCTGTGTTTGTTACATTGTGCTGTTCTATAATATAATAATTAAGCTTATTTATGTTTTAAAGTAATATTACACTTCTTATGAAGGTGATTAGTAGTATTGAGAGTAATTTGTAAATCAAAATTGACTGATTTGCTTAGAGCTGCTACAAATTCAATTGGTGAACTCTTTCTTGTTTAATTTTGAAGAATTAGAAAATAATTTAGTAATAATAGTAAGTTTTTTAGTTTAGAAAAAGATATAGTCATCCTCCATTGTTCCAATATCTTTAGTTTTCCTGTAGGGATTGTCTTGTTTTAATGGGCAAGTCACAAATGGTTAGATAGTTTTTGAAGCTAGCAGACTCTCCCATCGATTGGTCAGAAATTCTACAAACATTACAAAAAATTGAGGATATTTCATTTAGAGAAGAGAAGCACTAACTCCTAATATTAGTGAGGGTTATTTATAGTTTGGTGAAAATGCCTAAAATATCACATTTGATATTAATTTATCTGTTGATAAAAATATTGAAACTTTGATCTATTCAAGATAAGGTTGCAGAGTCTTAAGATATGCTTATTGATTTTGATGAAGATAGCAAAACAGAAACACAACCGAACATCTGCAGAAGGTCTCAAAGCTTTTGAAATTATGAGTAACTTTCTGTATTCACACCAACTTTCAAAAAACTAACAGCAAGATCATATAAAAATAGATATCAAAAATTTATTCAAGTTCAGAAAAAAAGAATTTTCCCAAAATTTCTAAATACTTTTTCTTTTGCATAATATGTATTTTTATTGTAAGTGTCTAATTTTTTCGAATAAAATTCTTTATACTTATTGTAAGTTATTAAATTTATAAGTAGAATGCTTCTTTGTTTTCAGGCATTTTCAAGTCCTTTAATATTATATATTGACTCTCATTCATTATTTTCTCTATCGTCCCATGCCCTTCAGTTAAAGAAATATAGTTAACTCTAATAATTTATTCTCACCTGATGAGGTGAGAGTTTATAGTTCAAACTTAATTGTATCAATTTCCAGGTAGAAAGCCATTGTTAGCTTGATTATTCAATGAAGTAATACTTTTAAAAACTGATTTTGTTATAAAAAATGAACTCAAATTTGTTATGATCTTGGAATTCCAAGTAATTATGTTGTTACAAATATATATATACAGTGAACTCTCACTTATGCACCGGTGTAAGGGGCCAACATAAAAAAGCGCATAAGTGAAAATCTTCAAAATTCTAAAACGCAACGTCAATTGCAGTGACAATATGAATAAATATGTTTCTTAACATAAAATTTTAATATTTATACTGTTTTGGTAATTACTTTAATTATGCCTAGAAATAATTTAACATACCTAAAGACAATTTATTTTCTTGCAAAATAATCTTAATACATGTTAGTATTTGTTTTTGCCGACGTATTTCAAAAGCAGTTTTTTCCAGTTCATATAAATGGGATGAGGGAGTATCAAAAGCAAAATTAAATTGTAAATAGTCAAGAATAGTGTCTAAAGCTTCTAATACTGCTATGTGATTTGGAGGAACTTTATCATCCTCGTCAGTGTCATCCACCATGTTTTCATCGTCAACAAGTATAAGTTAGATATAAATGAATAGCTCATCATAAAAAATGTGAGTTTCATGGGAGGGGGTGAAACATCATATGATAAATTTCTAAGAAAAGTACTTGACGTCATAATACGCTGCACAATAAGTTGTTACTATTGTCACTAACAGACCACCTCTGTTTATTTACTCATGATGTCCATCTGACTGCAAGTAAGTGATCGCGGTCTCTTTGATATTCCATGTGTCTTTTTTTTTTGTCTAGAAAACTGCATGGGAGTAAAACTAACCTGTGGACAAGATCAACAGTCCTTTTCTTAAAGATGAATGGGCTTTCATTGTTGTTGGTGTAACAGATAAGACACCCTATTCAAAATTGTAGAAAGAATGTCTTTCCAGAAACAGCAAAAATGAGAAGGTCACAGGGGAAAGAAAATTCAATGGGTTGTAGCCACATATTTCTTTTTATCTGTAACAAGGATTGCTTATTTGCTTCATTTTTAATTTAATACCTTTTTTTTAAAAAAAAAACTATTTAAAAGCTAAAAAAATTAGAATGTTAGCCTAAACTTTCGGCGTATAATTGAAAAATTTATTTGTAGAGCGACGCATAAACGAAGGATGTTTATCATTATTTTCCTACCTAATGTACTGGGGCCTATCAAAATCGTCGTATAAATGAAAAAGGTGCATAAAAGAGGTGATGCATAAGTGAGAGTTCACTGTATATCTATACATATTACTTTTTGTAGGGCATGTAGCAACCTTAATTGGATAGAAATTATTGTTTCAACAGAATTGATTTAGCAGTAACCATGTTAATCAAATCAAGCTCATATTTTAAAAGACAACAGTTTATTGGAAATATTAATGCATTTAATATACTAGGTGCTGCGCTGATTTCAGAACCGTTTCATATAATTTATACTCTACCAGGCCATCTAATCTGATGACCATTGCCCATTACATTAGATGGCATTGCAATAGTTAGGTTTATAATAGTTACTAACAGTTATAATAGTTACTAACACTCTTTTCATTGATATGTTCCTTCTATGAACAAAAAAATATGCCGCCCTCTCCTCCAACATTTTACCTAAAACTCATTTCTGTGACTTCATATTATAGTTTACCAAAATTATACTACCTACTTGTTGAGTTTGATCTACAACATAAATATACTATATATTCCTTAAATGCTTGAATTTTTTTTAGGTATTTATAAAAAATATATGTTGATTTGAAGAAGTTCGTTTTTTTTTTTTTTACATGCATGTTAGTTTAAAGGAAGAAGTACTGCATTCTCTTTTCAAGTTGAAACATCAAAATGACTATGTTGAGATGTGAACCTTTTTAAAACACCCATCTCACCCAGAGTTTTAGAACAATCTAGATTATAAAAACTTGGTATATTCTAATTAAACACATTCATTGACTGGAATGTTGAAACATATTTTGAGTAGGATTATTTTTGAAAAATGTGTTCTCTTCAATAAAAAGAATGTTTTTCTGTTTAAAATTACCAATTATTAATGACATAAGCATTAGTTAAAAAGTTTCCAAACAAACAAATTATTTTCTGAGCCTGAATAATTGACATGCAGCCTTTGAGAATCTCAACAAATAGTACATAGTTGATAAGATAATTTTTGATAATTTAAACCAGCATGCCAAAAGCAGTAATAACCTGTTCAGAAATTTGTCACAAAATAAAAATATTTTATAGCTTTTTTAATATGCCAATGGACTATCAGACTTTCATTTTCGAAAAAAATCCAACTAAGGAGAAATTCCGATTTTTTATTATTATTTTAATCTCTTAACTAATTTTTTATTTTTAATAATGACAGGTACTTGAACTCTCGTTTTTCACCTCGGAAGATGCCGGAAGTGTTGCTCATTTAACGTTACCCAGTGGGCACCTGTGAACCAAAGTCATGGAGGCAAGCAACATTACCCACGCCACAAACCCGTTCATAGGGTGGGCCACATTCACACAACACAGAGAGAGAAACATCCATGCCCAGGGCGGGATTCGAACCCGCAGCCATTGGCTTCGCAGTCAGGCACGCTAACCGCTCGGCCTCTTAACTAATTAAAAACATTCAAATTATTTTTAAAAAAATGAATTTTAAGTTAGAATATAATAATTCTTTTAACCCCTTAAGGACTGTGATTGCACGATTCTTCCTTTACAGCCCACGGTATATTATCTATAAAATTTGACTTTTTCACTCTAAATAGCCCAAGATTACATGTAATCTGAATTCGCTACTCTCGTATTACATTTCATATTAGTATGTAGACTTTCTAAGCATGCATGCCTTGAGAAGTACTTCCTTCTCCTTTCGTCAGTTCTAAATGGGTTATTAAAAACTAATTATACCACATGCTTAACAATAATACTTATGTCATTCTAACTGCAAATTACATGCACTACTATAATTTTTATAGCTACAGCATCAGATTATTACAATCAATTTTAACACTTGTTATAATTTTAAAATAGGCAAAACAAAATAAAAAAAATGGAATGAAAGCAATAAGTAAATAATCTGATTTGAATCTTAATAAATAAAAATATTGATGAGGTAGAAGGCAGTTCATTTTTAAATATATGTAAAAAAGAATTTGATAAAAAATAGTTGCCATGTGCATTACTTAAATTTGTCAGTTGATGGAACTAGGAATTGAAACTTTTTTTTTCTTTCTCTGGATATGTGTGAACAAATTAAAAAAATTTTTACAATTACCATCAACTTGCATGGAGGTGTGCAGAAAAAAAAAGGAGGAGGCCCATTGCCACAGTAATCAAATACAAGTTGAAACTCTCAGGTTTTTTTGTATTTATGCTTTTAAAAAAGATTGAAGAAAATATATTGAGATGCTGAGTGAAATTCTAAGTAATGTAATTATAATTTTAGAAAAAGCGATGATTTATAAAGAAGAAAACGTTCCATCTTCTAAAGTAGTAAAAATGTCAATTTTATCAAAACAGACTATATAAAAACATAAGTAACATGGCTCAGCTTTAAATAGATTTGTTAAAGCATGCAAGGAAAATATTGAGGAAAGACTGTGTTAAACTCAGTCTGTGCATTACTTTATGGGCATCACAAATCCAAAATAGTGAAGAAAATAAAAAGATGCCCAGGCTGATTAACATCCTAAATGGTTAGTGCCTTTTTTTACAGAAAATTTTTATTTTCTTAAAAGGATTTATTACTTTGACAACTTTAATTCATTTTACACTGAAAAATATATATTTAAAAAACTTTATTTTTTAAGAAAAATTTGGGATATCCTCGATTAAAAACATATTTTATCATTTGCCTCACACTTTTTTGATTGCATGTCAAAAGTAATTTATAGATTAATCTTAATATTTGCATGAATTTTACAGAACGAATAATCAGAATACATAAATTATTGAATGAACAATAAATAAAAGAAAAATAGTCCTAAATTTTGTATTATTATCAATAAAATTCATCAGTCATGGAGAGTTGTCTTGATCATATCATTCAAAATTTTCTTAAGATTTATATTTAACCAATTAATCTTCTTATCTATGGCATTATTCTGGTCTATTATAAAAGGAATTAGATCTGTTATGCCATTATAATGAGAAGTAAATACATATTTTTGGTTTATTCATTTCAATGCAATATAGTCTAAATCCATAGTTTCTTATCAACTTCTCCAGATTTAATTAAAAAATTTGCAAAAACAAAATACAGTCAGGCAGAGGGTAAACTTTGATAGAAATCCTGAAGATTTTAAAGATCCAAAATGCAATTAAAATATTTTTATATAAATTTTATTTTAATTGTAATTAATCAAAATGTAAAATTTGTAAATATTAGATTTTTTAAGGGAAAAAAAACTATTAGATTATTTAAAAAAATAATTTCTAACAAAACAAAAAAACAGAGTCATTACAGATTAGGGTATGAAATATGACCCTTATTTGAAAATACGAGAAAAAAAATAGATGAAAAGTAAAATACACACTATCTAATTTTATAGCTTTATTTTATATTTCACATAATGTTACTTTAAAATACATAACAGTTAAGATGTATAAAAAATTTCCCAGTATCTTTTGATGAACAAACTTATCAAATTAACATATAAAATACACATTATGAATTTAAAGTCTCATATAAGGAAAAATTAGGTTCAAGTTGCAAATTTAAATGCTTAACAAAAAGGTATATGATGATACAATTTGTATTTTTACGTAAAGAAAAATAAATTCAATAAAAACTCAATTACAAAATACACATAAAACAGTTCTGCAGCTTATTAAAGTTATGAAAAATGATCTTCTCTGTCTGCACCAACACCTTCACTATCTTCAATATTACTAAAGTTCAAAAAGTGTGAGAGTCTATGGAGTTCATGGTAAAATTCTTTGGGATTGGCAAGTTGCAAATCATACTTCATTCCTACATCATGTCTTACACCCATGAAATTATAATTCCAGGAACCTTGGGCAGGAACCATAAAGAATCCAAGGAAACGATGAGTTAACAACATTTGGACTCTTTCATAATGAGATGGCAAGTATCCTTTTGGATTATTTCCTCGATCAGTGTTTTGACGTCCCCAGTCGTAGCCACTAGGAGTTAACTTATAAGCAGTAAGAGAGCATGATCCTGGTGTAAAACTGCATGTTATAACAATAGTTTTTTCACCATCCCAAGTTGGATTATCATTCATAATGCTGGCATGTGTAGTGACATCCTGGGGGGAGAGTTGTGGCAACTCATTAGGTTGAGTGTGGATCCAACCGAGGGGTTCCATTTCTTGCAAGTATTCATGATTCGGTAAAAGATTTGGTAGATGTACCATCTGGTGAGTGCCCCATTGTGGTGCCATAACAATGCACCTGATTTCTTTTACTTGAGGTTGATCAGCTGGACTGACTCCATACAAATATCCAGCAATTTGAGTTCGTAGATCTGACACAATTATAAATTTTTTCAAAATATTTTTTGGTAGGATATATGTATATCCAGTTTCTTTGATGTCATCAGATGAAACATAAATATGATTCGTTCGCAAATGAAGATTGGTTGCTGATATGGCTCGAACTCGCCATTCTGTCTTGGATGCAAATGTATCTTTCTCATAATTACTGGTCGTTGAAGTGATGATTTCATCACCGTGTTTATTTATAGTGCGAGTAGTTGTAGCAGTTAGTTGTGTTTGTTCTTTAGTTTGCTTCTCAATCTCTGCAATTTGCTGCCTTTGAGCAGAAGGAGCTGATATTTCCATACCCAAAATTATATCTCTTATCTCTGATTGCGTTAAGGAAGCAACATTTACATTATTCTTTTTTCCATAATCAGCCAGGATTAAATCTTTCAATTGAACTTCCACCTTTATCCACTCTTCGTCAGACAGGGAGGGCCAAATATGATGGAGTTCTGTAACAGTAGTTTTATCAGGTTTTAAAATAACTTTTGTTCGTTCATTATTCACATGTAAAGCTCTCAATATCAGAATCAAACGAGAAAAGGCAGTATAAGATGATATGGTCTTCAGCCAATCATCATATAAATTGAAAAGAACCATCTGAGGTTCAGTGGCCTTTAAAATCAAATCTCCAAACTTTTCCACTTTTAAACAAGCTTGGAACGGCAACTGAAGTTCACTACCTTTGATAACAATATTTGGAAAATCAAGCAAATGTACTTCAAGTGGATCTAACATGCCTTTTCTGGTAACAATGATTTGCTTAGGCTGCTCTTCCACTGGCAATGAACGAATCAATGCAGCAACTTCTTCAGCAGTTTTCCATTTTGCCAACTGTCCTAGACGTTTCTGTCCAGCCCATACTGAAGTATGAATAATTTTCAAAAATAATTGGCCTGTTCGAGGATTGAATATAAAAATTGCCCCATTTATTGGCTTTGTAGTCAAATTACCTTCAAAGGTTTTGTGGATAGTGACTCTGTACACATTGGTATCATCAACGAACCAAATAATTTGATTTGAAAAGAGCTCACCATAGTTTTGTGAGGATAAGTAAGGCTCAGTAGGTTCAGAAGAATATAACTGCAAACCTTTCCTTATTCTTTCTCGTAACACATACAGTGCAGGATTAGCTTTCATTATTTTAGCCATAGCTTGTTGAATTAAAGGTTTTGCTCCTGGGAACCAATTTCCATAAGCACTATGAAGATTGTAGGCCAAATCAATAGCAATCAAGACACCAGTTGGAGAAGGGTAAATACTCATGTTATCAGTTGTATAATCTAAGAATTTAGCTCTGGCATATCTTTCAATGTCATGTGAATCGTAATCTCCCCATCGTAACTGAACATCTATCCAATATTTCTGTGTAGTTGTAACATCCATAGTGTCTTTTGAATCAGCTAGTAAACTGGGTCTTGAACAACTCCATTTATATGCAGCAAACAATAAAATATCTGCGCATGAGCTGTTCATTTTATATGATTTTCTAGGATGTATAGTTTCCTTTTGCACTGTCTCTATTTCTAAAGCATCTAACTCTTGATCAAAAACTTGACAAAGATCCATCACAATGCTTTCATGAATTTTTTGCCACAAATGGGCTCTGAAAATTTGGATCAATGAAATTTTCAAAGTTGGTATTTTACCATGCATAAATATTCCAGTCAAATCAAGTTGTACTTGGAAACCAACGTAAACATTAGCTCTATTTATAGTTGGTGACCACCATAAAGTGAATCTACGATTTGGAATTTGATTCAAACCAGATCTCTGCGCATTGGTCAGTTTCTTATACTTCATAGATTCTTCAAAGCCACTTGCTTTTTCCCAAAACAATCCTTCCCAAGTTGGAAAATATGTACCTTTGAATAAAGTGTGCTCTAAGATACCTTCAACACCACCTAATGCTTGGATCATATCAGTACGATAATTGTTCAAATTCCAGAGTTTACCATCATGTCTCTGATGAGTCCACCAAAATGGATTTTGTTTCAAAACTTGATATTGCTTGAAATCAGTACGGACTCTCCACCCTTTGTCATAAGCAAGAGTATGTCTGTCTTTTTGAAAGAGGGTATTAATTCTAGGTATACCACGATCCCAACTATCTTCTAAGTCTTCAAGAGTTAAACGTCGGTTTTGAGCCAAAGCTTCTTGTCTTTTTAAAGCATATTCAGCCCATACTCTTTGAGAATCAATAAACTCACTTTCCCAAGGTTGAATGTAACGGTACAAGTTAGGAATGACTTGATCTTCATCATGGCTCATGCCTGATCGGAAATGTGTAATTCCAACATCAGTTTGTTTTGACCATCTTAGATCAGACTGTGGAATCAACACATGACCCATGGATAACATTCCAAGGCCACCAAGTTCTTTTGGGGTGTAAAATACAACTGGCGGAAATCGACTGGGCATCTTTGAATTCAGACCAATTTTTATTCGAGTCTGAATTTTGTTCTCACATTTTACAAGTAAATCTAAAAGTTCTTGGGTATTAACAACAGCTTCTCTGAAATATGTCATCAAACCAATCAAGGCAGTGTTCCATTTGTTCACGATTTTAGTAAATGTTGTTGAACCAGATGCCATCAAAATTTGCCTAACCCGATTATGGAATCTTTGCATAGATTCATCATCTACTCGTAAGAAACACTGGGCTGTTCTTTCTTTGGTTACTTCATTTTGTAAATTCCATACACCATCTTTATGTGTGAATTCTTCATGCGTCATACGACATTTTGGAAGGATACGACACTCAAAGCCACTCATGTTAAATAACAAGTTGGGATTATCTTTACTGTACACTGAAACAAAACTGCTTTCCCACTGAACAGTTGTAACAGAACGTGGGAGCCTGTTTTTGATGTCCCAAAATACAGCCCGGCCCAAATTAACATCATGTTTCATCAATCGCATTCTAGCATCCCTAGGCCAGCATTTCTTATTATTGTATCCCACAATGTTCTCATTATTAGGATCAGGATGTTGCGTGAGATATCGCTGTATTAAATCACGAGCATCTTCTGCAGTGAAACGGAAAAAGATATGCATCCGCTCTATGTATCTTGAATATAATCGAATGGGATGAGTTGTTTCAGTAGCCACATCCTTGTAAGTCAAAAAGTCATTAGGCATTTGAGGTGGTCCCGCCATTTCACTAGCTCTCTGAAGACCCAATACCAAAAGATCTAAAACTAGGCCATAATACTGCACAATAAATGATGCAAACTGAAGTCCTCTTATTATTCCATAAGAATTAGTATGATTCATATCTTTGTAGTTAATAACTACATTACTCTTAGCTGTCATGTAATCAGCAATGTTATGATCAACAATCAATCTTAGAAGCCTATTCAATAGAGTTAAATCTATCTTTTCGTACATTTTCTCATAGCGAGACTCTAGCATTACACAACATTCTCCTTCAGAAGTGTCCCAAACATCTTGCAAGTTATTAATCCCTTGACACCATTTATAAACCAAGAGTGGAGGAGGTTCTGAGTCAGCTGGTTTAATCCAAGGAGGAAACAATCTTCTTTTGTCAGCTTCATACCAAAGGTACTGATCAAGATAGGCATCAGTAATTTTTTCTAATGGCTCAACATCATACACAGGTATCAAATGACTATACAGGTCCATAAACTCGATTCCAACTTCTTTGAATTGTCTGTGAGTTAACAGATGACGCTTGATACGAGAAAGAGCTTCATGAGGATTATCATAAGCTTGTTCAATCAAACCCAACTCTTCTCGTTGGGATTGATTCAATCTACTTTTTACACTGTATGCCTCTTTAAGACGCTCCAGAGCTAGAATGAGAAGTTTAGTATCATGTTTATATGAAAGAGGTGGGAATGGAATAGGTGAAAATCTGCGGCTCTCTAACCAATGGACTGTTGTTGTGTATATAGCAACTGCTTCTTCAGCACTAATATAAGGCCCATCTTTCAAATAGTTATGTTGTCTTTCCTGCTCAGCTTTCAAATATAAGCGAGTCAATCGTCCAAGATTTTTCTTGCACACAGTTTTGTCAACTGTGGCTCCTCTTCTTATTCTCTCACGATTGTAATGAGCCGTATTGGTCCACCAATCCGCTTTCATTTTTACATAACGTAATATCATGTTCTCAATGGGTGTAGGCAAACCAGGCACTTTCCAAGGAATGTTTGCTTTCCAGCAACGCCATGCCTCACTTAAATGTTGCAAAATGGTTCTGGCTTTATTTTGTTTCATACCCTCAGGCATCATATCTAATATATCATGCATAACAGATGCTCTAAGCTCAAGATCAAAATGACTTTCAACACGCTGTTTAGTTACAGTTTTAGCTACACCTTTAGAGTGTCTTCCTTCAAATTGACGAGAAAGTAAATTACCCAGCCATCTTTCAAGGAGTGGAGTTACACCACGCATAAAAAATAACCAAACTCTCCATCCAGGTGCCCAAAAGCCACAGCCAGGTCCTTTACCAATCGGTCCAGTATTGAATCTATAGTAGATTAAATGCTTTAAATCTTTACACATTCGAATTTGTCTCATAAGTTTATATTTGTAACGATACATGCCAGTCAGTTGACCTACATGAGCAAATATATACTGCAAGCCATCTGCCAATTGGAATGCATCAACATTATTCAAACGATATTGTACGTGACTGTCAACAACCAGCTTAGTTAATCGAAGTATTTCTCTACATAAATGAAAAGCATTACCGAATCTTGATTTCTTCCTTTCTTTGGTAGTTAAAGTTTTAACAGGCTTCAGATTGAAATTATAATCTAAATGAAGGTAGTTCAAATTTTTTCGATGAATAAGTAAATTCAACATGTTATAACCTTGACGGCAAACATGAAGGCCTACTTCTACCCAATCAAGAGTAGTTGTTTGGAAGAATTTGGTAGACTTAAATGATCTGAACAAATATCTTTTCTTTTGAGGTTTAGGAGGTCTATGTTTAAGAGCATTTAAGACATAATACTTCAGTAACTTTTGATAAGATACTCTTACTTTAACAGGCATTCCAGGAGGACAATGTTCGCGATACCAAGATTTTACAAGTGGAACATCAATGGCTCTTCTGGTTCGACCAGAACGCAAATTGAATGGCCTAGGTGCCCATAGAAGTGCAATGCCATTTGCTGTATTATCAGTATACAAAGGGCAATCTTGAAGAAATGGTTGAACAAATTCTGGAAGTTCAAAATCTTCATCATCATCTGGTAAAGGTTCTGCTCCTTTTACAGCATGTCTGTGAGATATAGGATTAATCAAAGGATCAAAATAAAATGCAGGCAAATCAGGATCTTCTGTTTTAATGAACACTACATTGGGTGCATGATACCAAGAGAGATGTACATAATGAGGTAAATTATTATACAGATATGGGAAAGCAATTCGATACTCTGTACGTATAGGCTGACGTATAATAATTTTGTTGATGTCATTGAACTCGTTCCAATCTTCATCAGCAGGACTTGCATCTTTGATTAAAGGTTCAAACTTTGGTCCACCAGGGATAGACATATTGAGCGCTTTTGCTGTGAAGAATGATTTGAGATCAAATAGATAAAAATAATTATCATCAACTAAATCTGTCAACAGCTGATTTGCAAGTCGATATAAAGTTGCAAGTTGAGGGAGAGCCAAATTCCAACGACGATAAGTTGTACCATTGACATGTTTGGTATCAACTAATGGTTTATGATCATAAAACCACTTGCATACTTGTGAATCTTCTTCTGAATCTAATTCCATCTGAATGGCTTCAAGAGGTTCCACATCAAGAATGTTATCAGCATAATCTAGAGGTGGTTCTTCATCGTCGAATGGTGGGAATCTCATACGTTTAAAGTGTCGCCTATCTCGTTTTTCTCTTCGCATCATAATCCACATAGTTCCCCATTGAGAAATATATACAGGTTCAATTACCCAAGGGATTTCATTGACGAATGTTATGGCACCTGTTATGTGGTATAACACTTTAACATCGCGGATCTGTTCCCAAGGCATTGGCATATTCTCCATTAGTTTCAAAACTGCATGAGGCATATATTTTAAAGCTCCCAAATAAACTCTTTTATCATGGCGATATTTTCTACTACTCATGTCACCATGATCACGAATAATTTTTCTGATATGCTCAGGGGGCATATCTTCTTTTTGGGCATCAACAAAACCAAATTTACGTTTTTCAGCATACCTCTTACTTTGCAGTTGCTGCCACTTTCTAGCTTTCTCCTGAAGCTTTTCTTCGGATAGTATTTCAGGCTGTTTTAATATTTGCTGCTGCTGTTGCATTTGTTGTTGCTGCATCTGAACTTGAGCCTGTGCATGGGCTAGCTGAGCAGCAAACGCCTGCTGTTGGGCTATCATGCCCATCACATAAGGATGGCCTAGCATTTTAAAATGTTATTTTGGTTGTTTAGAACAGAATAAAAATCAAGCACACGCTAATAATGAAGTGGTCCAGTTATTAGTTATTAAGCGTGTGAAGTCAAATAGTTGGCATCGAACATGATGCTATTCATTAGTTTTAATTTCGGTGGACATTTAATTTGTTCAATATTTAGTCACAATTTATCACATCTTTCAAGCTTTGCAGATAAATCTCGAGAAAATAAAGCATATAATTGGAGTTTATAACAAGTTACTTACACCATTTATTTTGTTTGTACACTTTTACTCGGCTTTATGTAACATGATTGCGGTTGCAGGGAAAAACATCTTCAATTAGTTAACTGAAATTTTACTAAAAAATTTATGTTTTTTTTTTTCAATTTCCTTGCTTTAGATTTGTTACAAAATAATTTAAATCAACCAATTTTACAAACATGTTTGTTTAAAGATGTTTCACTTTTAATTGATGAGTATGTAAATAACTTTTGCAACTCGACACAGCTCGTCTTGTTTACTTCGTGCTATGACGTCAGTTCAGCTGTTGTCCTGTTGCCTGCTGTCTTGCGTGAAGTGAACTGTGATGTTATCTTGGGTTATTGTCTCTTTCCGTTTGCAGTTTTAATTCTGACAATTTTATTCCTTTGTTGTGTAATTTTGGGGTTGCGCGTTTAACTTGGAGTTAGATATTTTAAATTTTACTATTAAATTATGGCTCAAAATCCTACAAGCAGTGCTTTACGTGCTCTAGCCTTGGAATTCAAAAGCATTCAAGAGGAGCCAGTCGAAGGTTTTCGTGTTAAACTTGTTTCTGATGAAAATCTTTTTGAATGGGAAGTAGCAATATTTGGACCCCCCAAAACTTTATATGAAGGTGGTTATTTTAAAGTAAGAAAATAATTTGATAATATTTTAAACTAAATTCGTATATTTCTTTTTTATTTTTAATTATTTAACATGTTGGTAAATATTTTTGTTTGTCCTCATTAATATAAAATTTTTTGTATTCCTTTTTTTTCTCTTTAATTAGTATGTTTGTAAATAGTTATTATTTTCCCTCCCCCCTTTGTCTTTTTTACAATTTGTAATATTTCTTGTAATCTTTTTTTTCTTTAAAAAAAAAAAAAAACTTGCCATATTCTCGATTTTTTAATTTTTAAAGTAATTCTAATTTAATTTTAAGCGTTACTTTTTTGTATCTATGAATCGTACCTTCCTACAGTTAAATTTTAATCTTGAGAATAATAAGTTTTTTTAATAATGATCAACTGTAATTGATTAAAGCTAAGCCAATGGGGCATTTCGTTTTAAATTAGGTTGCATTTTAAAATTTGTTTTTGTAATTTTTTAATTTCCAAATTTGAAATAATAGAATTGTTCTATTATCAAAATAAAACAATAATTAAAAGAAAATTTTTAAAACAAAAAAAGGATTGTAGATTTTATGATAGCAGACCAAATTCATTAGATACCCTTTTTTTTCCTTCTGTGTATTAAAGTACATTAATGAAATTGATTAGTAGTCAAAACAAAATTTTAAAACTAGTTTTTTAATGAAACATATTCTTCAATTGAAAGTTCATTAACATTAATCAACAGACAATTAAGAGCTGTTAGCTCATGAAATTTCCCATACAACCAATACAGATTTTTAAATTAATAACCTTTATTTGGGGAAAATAAATACCTGATCAGTATTTTAAAAAATTCTTTTCTTTTATTTAAATAAAGTCTATGATTTTGCATTAAGATACTTCTATTAAATACTGGGAAAAACACAAAATTAATAAAGGAAATAGGATTTATATAATAAATTTGATTTTATGATGTGGGTACAATTGAAAAGGCAAATTTACCATTTAAAAACGTAATATTTGCTGACTTTAAAATTATGTAACTATCTTTAAAAAATGAGCAGTTTTAATATTTTTTGTTATGTCTTGTTGTCATTCATACTTACTCCAGTTTTCAGAAACTTTCTTAAATTAAAAGAATTTTTAAAAAATGATGAACTGGGTGTTACTGACATGGTACATTATGTTCATAGCAACTAGTGTTTAATTTTTTAAAAAAAGATTTTAAATTTCTAAAGGTTAATAAAAATTAGAGAAAATCTAAATGATATCAAGAGTTATTTAAAAAATAATAGAACTGCTTTGATTTTTTTTGTATCTGACTTATATGCATTTTAAGTCAGCAAATATAAAAACAGTAATTGTTGAAATAGCCTAATACTAAAGTAGGTATTTCAAATAAATGAAAGAAAAAGGAATGTATATTTCAATTTTATTATTCGTTTAATATTAGGTAGTGATTTTACTTCATGATGGTATCTCTGATGACTTACCTGTATGTATGTACCTGTATAAATATTATTCAATGAATGAACACTTCTCAGATTGCTTAATTTAGTATAATTCCATATCATCACATATCCCTAGTTCACATGAGCTGAAATTGCCAAAGCACCGAATAAATTACCCAGTTGTTTAACTATAAATAAATAAAAAAATATGTGTGTAATGTCCATTCATAGTAATCATGACAGGTTTTAATTTTTCTAATGAAAATATTTACAATTTCGAATTTAATGTATATTATTTTGGTTGAAGATTGAGATCTTTGTTTTTTGATATATAAGATATAATAATTACATATATATCTTGTAAGATCAGGGGTCTGGAAGAAATTTATGTCCGTTAACGAACCCTTCACAAAATAATTTATCTTTTAATCGGTAATCGGACCCTTCACAAATTTGTTTATCTTCATTATTGTTTTGTCAATAGAATAAACCCTTCCCAGGGGAGAAAAAAGAGACTGTTGGAAACGAACTAAGTTTTCCAAGTTTCCCTAAGTTAATATTCCAAATGTAGTATTCTAAGAAAATATTTCTATATTTACAAACATCATGTGCGCATTCTTATTGATATTAAATATTTTTTTTGTTAATAAATAATTGATTAATTTATATTTGTCCATAAAATTAATTTATAGAATATTATGTAAATAAAAATTAATTTCTGGCAATTTTTTAAGTAAAATATTATAAATTTAAGAATTGTTTAAATTTACCTAATGCATAACACATTAAAAATAATACCAGGTGTCTGTTTAGAAGAAATTACAGACCCTTCACAGAATAACTTTTCATAAAAACAGACCCTTCACAAAATAATTTATCTTGTAATCGGACCCTTCACAAATTTGTTTATCTTCATTATTGTTTTGTTAATCAAATAAACCCTTCCGGGGAGGGTGGGGGGAGATGGTTGGAGGCAAACTAAGTTTCCCTAGGTTTAAATTCCAAATGTAGTATTCTAAGAAAATATTTCTACTCTTGCAAACATCGTGTGCGCATTCTTATTGATATTAAATCATAGGGTGACCTGGGGTAATTCCTGATCAAAAAACGCAAACATCTATTTTATGAAAAAACTATTCAAAATAAAATTTTAATATTTACTGGAAGTTTGAGGCTATATGAGATGAGTCCAATGCCACCTTCTTTTGTTTGAAAATCTAATTAGAATTTAAAAGATTTTAAATTTTTAGTGATCAGGAATTACCCCTGGTCTTGATCATTTCTGGGGTAATTCCTGATCACTTCTGGGGTAATTACTGATCATCAGTATTTATTGTAAAGGGGCTGTTTTAAAATAATTATATAATGGTAATTAACAAATAAGACATCAAGATCAAACAAATAAACCAAAAAGATATGTTTAAGCAGCTAATAAAATTATTTATTTAAAAGCAAGAAGAAAGATTAACACTTTAAATTTTCAAAAATCTTTGCATCGTGCCATACATTTTAGGCAATCAGCCAACTCATTCTCATGTTCT